CTCGCGCCGAGGCAGGCGCGCTTGACGTCGTCGTCGACGAGGACGGGCCGGACGCCGCCGTCGGCGAACGCGGGGAGCCAGACGAGCGCCGGCGGCCCGTCGAGCGGCGCGCAGGGCAGCGACAGCTCCGGCAGGGACGCGGCGAGCGCGTCGCGGCGCGGGCCCGCGACGAAGACGCTCTCCGCGAAGGCCGCCGCGTCGACGCCGCGGAGCGTCGCGGGCGCGTCCGCGCAGAGCCGGCGGACGAAGGCGCGGGCGTGGGACCGCGACGCGCTCCGCGGCAGGCTCAGGAGCCCGGCGACCTCCGCGGCGACGCGCTCCAGCGGCCCGCCCGGCGCGCGGACGTCGACGAGGAACCCCGCGTCGACGAGCGACCGCGAGAGCGCGTCGGGCCCCTCGTCGAGGCTCACGCAGGCGGCGAGGGGCGCCGCGCCGCCGGTGGCCCGCGGCAGGGCGGCCGCCGCCGCCGTCGCCGCGCGGAGGACGTCGCGCCGCGCCTTGGCGTCGAGCGCCGCGGCGCCGCGGCCCACGAGGAGCCACGCGGCGGCGAGGTCCGACGGCGCCGGGTCCTCGCGCGCGAGGAGCTCGAGGAGCTGGTCGAGCGGCGGCGGCGGCGTCGCCGTCGCCCAGCGCAGCAGGGGCGACCAGGGCGACGAGGACGCGCAGAGCGCGGCGCGGACGGACGCGTCGTTCGCGCCGAACGCCGCGAGCGGCCGCCGCGGGTCGTCGTCGTTCTCGAGCGCCGCCATGCTCGGCGCGACGACGACGGGCGGCAGCGCGTCGTTGTCGCGCCACGCCGCGGGGATCCAGCGCCTTCTCCGGAGCTCGACGACCCACGCGGCCGGGCCGAGGTCGACGGCCGACGCGGCTGCCTGGCCCGGCGGGAGCCAGTAGAGCCGCTTCCGCAGCGGCGCGGCGTCGGCGCGCCGCACGACGCCCCGCGCGGCGTCGTCGACGGCGCGCGCGGCGTCGTCGCCGCCGCCGCGGCCCTTGGCGGGACCGTCCAACGTCCGCCGCGCGGCGGCGACGGCCTTGGCGCTCGGCACGGGCGCGGCCTCGACGCGGCGCCGCGCGACGCAGGCGGCGAAGGACCGGCAGCGCGCCGCGTCGGCGCCGTCCAACGCCGCGAGCCACTCGGGCGCGAGGGTCGCGTCGACGACGTAGGCGTGGCGCCGGTCCATCTCGTCGAGCAAATCGTAGGGCAGCGGGATCGACGACGCGGGCTGCGTCTTGCGGAAGCCCAGCTCGCCGTCGCCGACGTGGGGCGTCGCGTCGTCGGCGCTCCGCGCGGCGGCGACGAGCTGCTTCGCGCGCCGCAGGTCGACCTTGCCGCAATTCGCGACGACGCGGACCGCGCCGTCGGAAGCGCCGGCGGAGCGCCACGCGTCGGCCCAGGCGCGCGCGTCGACGGCCGAGTCCCCGTCGACGTAGCGCGCGGACACGGTGCGGCAGCCGGGCGCCGCGAAGCGGCTCAGCGCGTCGCCGTAGCGCGCGCCGAGGGAAAGCGTCGCGACGGCCCGGAGGCCCGGGCGGTCCGCGGCGTCGTCGATCGCGTGCGTGAGGAGCTCCGCGCGCCGGTGCTCGACGGCCCACGTCGCGAAGCGCACGACGGGGCCCTCGAGGTCCTTGGCCTCGCGCGGCCAGCGCGCGGCCCAGTCGCGCTGCGCCGCGGCCGCCGCGAGGCCCACCGTGACGACGGCGCGCGCGTCGCGGCGGAGCTCGTCGACGAGGTCGCGCGCCGCGCGGCTCGCGCGGCCCAGGGCCGTCGCGACGGCGTGGTGCAGGAGCGCGGGCGCCTCGGCCTTGCCCCGCTGGGGGGTCGCGCCGTCGAGGCGCGCCGCCGCGCGCGCCGCGGCGCCGCCGAGCGCGTCGCGGACGTCGGGCGGCAGCCGCGCGAAGTCGTCGTCGAGGAAGCGGACGCGGGACGCGGCCACGAGCTCGAGCGTCGACGAGAGCCAGACGGGCCACGCGCCCGCGTCGACGCCGCCGTCGTCGTCGCCGGCCGCCGCGCGCGCGGCGGCCGCGGCCTCGACGAGCGCGGGGCCGGCGACCTCCGGGTCGCCTTTGAAGACGACGCCCCGCCGCGGCGCCGGCGCCGTCAGCGCGCCGCGCCAGAGCCCGTAGGCGGCGAAGTTCGCGCCCATGACGTGCGTCGCGACCGCGGGCCGCCCGAGCAGCGCCGCGAGCGTCGACGCGTCGACGCGCGCCGCAAAGGCCGGCGGCACCCAGCAGCAGTCGCGGGCCCGCGCGAAGGTGCCGAGCGGCAGCGTCGGCACGATCGCGTCGCGGCGGAGCGCGTCGTCGAGCGCGCGGAGCGCGACGCGGCCGCCCGCGACGGCGCACGTCGCCCTGCCCGTCTTCTCGTCGCGCTCGAGCGTCGGCAGGCGGCCGTAGGCGTCCTCGAGGATGGCGGCGGCGTCGTCCGGCGCCGCGCGCGCGCGCCGTGCGGCCCAGGCCAGGAGCTGCGCGAGGACGTCGCCGAGGCAGCGGTCGAGGAGCGCCGCGTTCCAGCCGTGGTTCGCGTCGAGCGAGTGGCGGTCGACCTACGACGGCGTTTTTCCCGGCGAGACTCCGGGAGCAGGAGCTCCCGACCTGGCGGAGGCGCGACGCGATCACGGCCGAAATCGGCGCGGTCCTCGACCGATGGCACGAGACGATGAACGCGGTCGCGTCCGCGCTCGAACATCTTTCTCAAAGGACGCCGCGGCTCGCGGACAGCATGAAGGGGCCGTCGACGTGGGACCGCGGCGTCGGCGCGCGGACGCGCGTCGGCAGCGTGCAGTGGACGAGCCCCGGCGCCGCGCGGCGCCGGTCGCCCGCCCGGGGCGCCGAGGCGGCGGCCCTTTCGTCGATCTCGAAGAAGAGGCGGAACTCCTCGACGTTGCCGTCGTGCGCGCGCTTCGTGTGCGCCGCGTAGGCCTCGCGCGCCGCCGCGTCCGGCCGGAAGCGCGACACGAAGGACGCGAAGCGCGCGGTCCGCGCGTCGCCGCCGCCGCCGACGCGGTCGACGGCGACGGCGATGGCCTCGACGCCGCCGTCCGTCGCGGCCTCCGTCGACACGCGGTACTCGCGCGCGTCCCAGGCCTAAGAGGAGCAACCATCCAGGTGATGAGGCTGTGCCACGCGCGCGTGGCCCACGGCGCGGCGCGGACGACGCGCGTCCAGTTCGCGCCGTCCTCCGTCTTCCAGACGTCGTTCGTGCCCCGGTAGCCGAACAGGGTGATCAGGCTCCGAAGCCGGTCATTTTCCACTCTTGATGGACGAGCGATCCTCTCGTGGAGCGCGAGCTTCTCCTCTCAAACGAGTTTCTCGCGATGCATCGAAGTCGAATCACCCCGTGTCGGCCCCGTTTCAGACAAGAAGCCAGGGCTCGTCGCGCGGCGCGCGGCGCCGCGAGATCGCCGCGCGCCCCAGGAGCGCGACCGCGGACACGGCCGGCGGCCGGAGGTCGTCGTCGAGCGACCGGCCGCGCTCGTCGCGGGGCCGCTCGAGCTCGAAGGCGCACCAGGGCCGCGCGCCTTCGACGGGCGGCAGCGGCCGCGGCTGCAGGACCCAGGCGTGCCGCGGCTCGTTCGGCGCGAGGCGCTCCGGCTCCTCGTAGCGGAACCGCCAGACGCGGTCCGACACCGTGACGCGCCGGAACCGGCGGTAGACGGCCTTGAAGCCGATGCCCATGAAGCCGATGCTCCGCCCGGCGCCGTCGTCTCTCAATAACGACTTCGTGCTCAGGCCCACGGACGACAGGCCCAGCACGTCCAGCGGCGAGAACGGCCGGCCGTCGTGCGACACGCGCAGCCCGCCGTTCCGCGGCAGCCGTTCCACGCGCACGGCCTCGGCGCCGTCGTCGACGCCGTTCTGCAGCAGCTCCCAGACGTAGGCGTCGCTGCGGTCGAACTGCTTCTCGAGGATCGCGAGGAAGCCGCGCACGGACGGCTCCAAAGCCTGGAGGCCGTAGTAGTTGGCGATGGACGCGACGACGACGTCTCGCCAGCCGGACGTCTCGTCGACCGCCGCGGCGCCGCGCCGCAGGTCGCCGGGGGTGGGGGGGCGGCACGGCGCGTAGCGATGAGTATCGTCGATCTTCTCGGCCCAGCTCACGGCACCCGACGCCGCGACGCAGAGCGCGAAACGCGGCAAGAGCGCGTCGACGTCGTGAACGGCGAGCGATCGGTCGTCGGTATCACCAACGAGCGCGGCGACGCCGTGGGAGAAAATGACGATGGAATAGGCCGCGTTCTTTGCGATATCAATAACCGCGCAGCCTTTGCCAATCAAGGAAACCGCTTCTCTTTCAGCTGTGAGCCGGCGCGGGAGGCGCGCATGCGAAGCCATTGGTGCGCAGCGGCGCGGTGCGGTGCGGTCGGTGCTAGTCCGCGCAGCGGCGCGGTGCGGTGCGGTCTGTGCTAGCGCGTGCGCATTGCGCCACCATCTCGCTGAGTAGGCTGATATTGACGACGATGTTGAAGTGGTAATCAAACGAGGCTCGAGGGCTGGTGCCTGCGCTCGAGGCCAGCCAGGGGCAGTGCGAGTGCGCGCGCGCGGGCGGCGAGACGACGAGATAAGAGCGCGGGGCGTTTGCTCCTCGAGCCATCATGACCGGCTACGCGCCGGCTCTCTTCCTGGAAGACCCCGGCCCGGAATTCCTATGCTCTCTCTGCGCCGACGTGATGCTGAACCCCGCGGTGCCAGCCGCGTGCGGGCACACCGTGGTGTGCGGGGGCTGCGCCGACGTGCTGCGCGGCGGACTGCCGACGACGTGCGAGACTTGCGACCTGCCGTTCCGAGAGCCATTCACCGACGTTTCTTCTTTGCTCCCCATCGCGCATCTCCGAATGCGCTGCGGCCTCGAGGCTGAACCCGCCAACGGCAAGCGCGCGAGCCCGTACCGCAAGGAGGTGCGCCGCGCGCGCGCACTCTGCCGCGCGCCGAGACGACCCACCGCCGCGCGCGCGCACTCTGCCGCGCGCCGAGACGACCCACCGTAGGTCCAGCCCGAAAAGTGCCCCTGGACGGGGGCCTGCAGCGACTTCGAACGCCACCGCAGCAGCTGCCCTTTTCTCCCTGTCACTTGCGATCTTTGCTCCGGCTCAATGCTGCGCCGCGCCCTCGACAATCATCTGTCGAACGAGTGCTCGGAGCGGCCGACGAAGTGCGAATTTTGTAACACCGAAATGCCTTACCGACAGATCAAGCGGCACGGACGCCTGTGTTTGAAGCAGCCGGTGAGCTGTAGCTGTGGACTGACATTTCCCCGGGACGAGCTCGATGAACACGTTGCGACGGATTGCCCGCGAGCCGTCATCGCGTGTCCCTACAGAGAGTGTGGCTGTACGGAGAAGCTCGAACGCCGCGACATGCATCAGCACCTTCTTGATCTTACAGAAACGCATGCCGCGTTGTCCTCGCAGACCCTCTATTCTCTGCGGACTCGCATCGTGGCGCTGGAGAACCTTTCCAAAGAGCTGGTGTTTGAGGTGCCTCTCGCGGCGATCAATTTCGATGGAGCGTCTGTGTCGTCGAAAGTCTCACCTCTCATCTCTGGTTACAAATTCCATATTGACGTGTCATTGAAGAATGATGAGTTGGGCTGTTACCTCGTCCACGCGGGGGGATCAGATCATTTCCCCATCCATTTGAGTGGCACGGAATTCAACGTTTGCGATCCGCTCGGCCTGTGCGTCAAGTCCAAAACTTTGGACCGTCATGACGATGGACACATAAGCGGCCTGTGGCTCTCTTGGGGATTTGACGATCTGATGGTGCTAGCCGAGGTCGACGAGCTTCTCGCCGAGCATGGTGATGATGCGGTCATCACGTTCTCTATCAACGTCAAAGTCGACACGCTCAGCACGGTCACCCTGTGAGGCCACATGTATTTGAAATTGAATTGCGCGTTCTTAATATGTTGTATCGCGCTTAGAACCGCAGCGCTCCTCCCCATTCCCCCGAACCGCGCTCCGGCCAGAACTCGCCCGCGAGCTTCGCGTCGGCCGCCGCGTCCGGCGGCGGCGACAAGGCGGTTTCCCCCGCGGCGGCGACGACGACGCCGAAGGCGTCGGACCCTCCCGCCGGCCCGCGGCCGTCGGCGAAGGACGCGGCGCGGCCGACGACGCGGACGACGAGCTTGCCGCACGCGCCGTCGCCCGCGCAGCTGCCGAGGCCGAAGACGCGGTCGTAGGTCGCGCGGAGGGCCGCGGGCGTGAGCTCCGCGGCGAGGAGCGCGTCGACGGCGTCGGCGTCGAAGAGGTCCGGGCAGCGGTCGACGATCGCGTCCCAGTGGCGGTCCGCGAGGTCCGACGGCGACCGGGGCTTCTCGTTGCCGCGGTCCGCGAGCGAGCAGCACTGGTCGACGAACTCGTCGATGAAGTCCGGGCTCATGACGACCTTGCGGTGCGCCTTGAGGAACGCGGCGACGCGGCCGGCGACGTGGTCCGGGTGCGAGTCGTCGGACGTCACGCTGATCGCGAAGCCGACGACGCCGTCGGTCCACTTGGAGCCGCAGGACACGGTGTAGCCGAGCTGCTCCTTCGTGCGGAGCTGGGCGTAGAGGGGCTCCTCGAGCACGGCCTCGAGGAGGTTCGCGAGGACGCGCGACGCCGCGCAGTCCGGGCCTACCGAGCGCGACGTTTCTTCGTTTTCCCGGTCTCCTCTCTCGAAAAATCGTCGTCGCGGCTGCGGGACGCTGGTCCGGGCCGAGCTGGTAGTAGATCTCGACGGCGCTCGTCGCGCAGCCCGGGTCCTCCGAGGGCTCCGTGACGTAGGCCGTCGCCCCGCGCCGCAGCCGGAGCACGCGCGGCGGCGACACGGCCGCCGCCGCGCCGCCGCCGCCGCCGGCGAGCGCGTCGAGCTTCGGCGCGAGCGCCGCGCGGACGGCCTCGCCGCCGTCGGCGACGTTGCCGTGGACGAGCGCGTCCCATTTCGCGCCGGCGAGGAAGGCCCGGAGGTGCGCGCGCGCGTCCGCGGGCGCCGCGCCGTCGAGCGCCGCGCGGCGGACGCCCGGCGGCCGGTTCCGGCCCGGCACGAGCGCGCACAGCCGCAGCTTGCGCGCGTGCTTCGCCGGGTCCTCGTGCCAGCTGTTGCCCAGGTCGCGCCGCAGCGCCGACACCGCCGCGTCGAAGCGCGGGCCCGGGGCCCAGGGCCCCGCGCCGGGTTCCGCGGCCGCGAGGCCCGCGAGGCCGTCGACGAGCGCGTCCGCGAGCCGCGGCACGGCGTCGGAGACGACGCCGCCGCAGCGGAGGACGAGTTCGCCTGAGCTGCTGCTCACGCTGTAGAAGAGGTGCGCGACCGTCGCCGCGTACAAATCCTCGGCGACGGCGTCGCGGAGCAGCCCGGCGCAGAGCGCCGTCATGGCGAGGTGCGTCGCGACGGCGGCGCCGTCGGCCGCGGGCGGGAGCGGCGCCGCGAGGCGGACGCAGATCTCGAGGCGGGGCAGCTCGAAGCGCGCGGCGCGCGGCGCGACCCAGACGCGGCCGTCGCTTTCGAGGCGCGCCGGCGCCGCGTCGACGTCCCTGGGCCGCGGGAACGCGTCGCCGGCGAGCTTCCGCGCCGGCGCGTCGCCGGTCGGCGGCTTGCGCTTCTTCTTGCCCTTGGCCGGCGCGGCCGCGGCGCCGCGCGCGCCCTTCCAGCCCGCGGCGAACGCCGCGCACGCGTCGGCCGCGGCCGCGACGGCCGCGGCCTCGGCCGCGTCGGGCGCGGCGCGCGGCGCGACGCCGGCGCCGGCGAGCGCCGGGGCGCTCCCCACGAAGGGGTTCGCCGCCGGGACGCCGAGGCCGGGCCAGGCGCGCGACGTCCGCCAGAGGTCGACGAGCGGCGCGGGCACGGGCGACGCCCAGTACTCGGTGCCGAAGCGCGGCTCCGTCGCCGGCGGCTCCGCGGGCCGCGCCGTCGCGAGGGCGCCGTAGGGCGTCCAGGCGTCGGGCGGCGGCGGCGGCGGGGCGTCCACGGGCGCGCAGGACCGCCGGCCCTTCTTCGCGAGCGCGTCGAGCGCCGCGTGGAAGCCCGCGCGGCCGCTGCAGCGCGGGCAGCCCGGGCAGGGCGCGGCGGGTTCTCCGGCGTCGTCGGCCGCGAGGGCCGAGTCCAGGAGCTCGACGCGGCACGCGCCGGGGTCCGCGACCGCTTCGAGCACGGCGAGCGCCTCGGGGCCGACGGCCGCCTCGCGGCATTCGTGGCGCGCGCGGAGGAGCGACGCGCGCGGGATGCCGTACATGGGCAGCATGAGCTTCGCGAGCTCCTCGACGAGCTCGTCGGCCTCGTCCTCGCCGGCGTAGTCGAAGCCGAGCTCCGCGACGGCCGCGAGCTCCGCGCCGACGGCGCCGACGCGCGCGGGCTCCGCGTCGAGCGCCGCGACGCACGCGCGCGCGTACTCGAAGACGCAGGCCGCCGCGCAGGCCCAGCGCGCCGCGCCGAGGGCCGTGAGCTCGATGGTCACGGCGAAGAGCGCGCCGCAGCTCAGGCTGTCGGACACGCCGTCGCCCGCGACGCCCGCGGTGAGCTCCGTCGCGAGGCCCGCGCGCCGCAGCGCCGCGAGCGCCGACTTCGGGCCCTCGTGGCCCAGGAAGTGCGTCGCGACCTCGGCGGGCGCGCTGCGCCAGAGCGGTCGCAGCGAGTAGCCCAGGGGCCAGAGGAGCCGGACCTGAAGTGGGGCGGTAACGATTTCTCTTCGATTTCCCGGTCGAAAGCTCTCGAAAGTCGTCACGGCCGCGGGACGCCGAGCCGCACCTCGTGCGTGTCCTTGCGGATCGGCGCGACGCGCGCGAGCGCGGACGCGCCGCCGGGGAACGGCGACGGCAGCGCCGCGGGCGGCGCGTCCCACGACGGCCGCCGCCAGCGGAGCGCGTCCGCCGTCTCGGCGGCGGCGACCGCGGGGCTCGCGCGCACGGCCGCGAAGCTCGCGCGCACCGCGGCCTCGGTCTCGTCGAGCGACGCCGTCGACACGACCGCCTGAGCGAAATACGGTGAGAAATTCCCAACTTTGGACGGCGACGGTCGAAGATCTCTCGGGAGCGGCCACAGAGCGTGGTTCTTGACGCTCAAGATTGAAGTTGAATCACCCTTGGTCGGCCCTGACGACCGCGAGCTTCATGTTCGACGCGTGGTAGTGCGCGTCGTGGAGCGCCTTGACCGCCGCGACGGCGGACGCGTCGCCCTGGCGCAGCGACTCCGCGTTGCCCCACGTGAAGGTCCCGAAGGGGTGGCCCGCGGGCGCGCTCCGGTAGAGCAGCTCGTCGAGCCGCGAGAAGTCGTCGCGGATCGTCTCCCGGAACTCGGACTCGATGGCCTGGACCTGGGCAGCAAAAGGGTGCGGTCTCGAAGCGTCGACTCGACGCTCGGGCTCCCGGCGCCGCCATCTCTCGGGCTGCAAGCGCCGCCATCTCTCGTCGAGCGTCGGACGACTCGGCGGCCGCGCGTCGAGAGCGGTCTCGAAGCGTCGACTCGACGCTCGGGCTCCCGGCGCCGCCATCTCTCGGGCTGCGAGCGCCGCCATCTCTCGTCGAGCGTCGGACGATTCGGCGGCCGCGCGTCGAGAGCGCGCGACGCGCTCGCTCGCCGGACTGCTTGGACGAGGTATCCCGCGCACTGACCCCGTGAAGGGTGGCACTGGGGCCGCCGGGGCCGTCTACCGGCGACGGGGCGAACCCCGTCGAGACAGGCGCACCGTTCCAAGTAGTCTGGGTCGCAGCGGCGTTGCGTGCTCTCAACTCAGGCGTCGCGCTCCGCGGTTCAAGTTTGAAGTACGATCGGATCACTCAGGTTGAAGTGACGTTGAATCACCCGTTCGCGGCCCTGGCTCGGACCTCGCGCGACACCGCCTCCGGGTTGAACGACGGCGCCACGAAGAACTGCGCGAAGACGTCCAAGGCGTGCGGGAAGGCCTGGGGGAGGCAGTCAAAGTGGAAGGACGTCTCCTCCACGTCCGTGGCCGCGTTTGAAGAGCCGCCGTGCTTCGATAAAAACGCGTCGTAGGCGTTCTCGTCGGGGTACTTCTCGCTGCCCAAGAACAGCAGGTGCTCGAGGAAATGTGCGCAGCCCTGGGTCTCGGGAGGATCGGCCCAGGAACCGACGCCCACGACCATGGCCGCCGCTGCGCGCTGCGGGCCGGGGCCGTCGTCGCCGTCGGACTCGTCGTCGTCGCCGCCGCCAGCGTCGTCGTCCTCCTCCTCCGTCTCGAACCCCGAGGAGCCGTCGTCGTCGTCCTCGGGCTCGGCGCTCTCGTCGACGTCTTCGTGTATCAGCAGCGCCTCGAGGCCATTGTCGAGCGTGACTAGTCTGTAGGACTTCTTGTCCGACTTGCCGCTCTTGATCTCCATGCTAGCACGCGACGCGCGACGCGGCGCAGCGACGCGAGCGCGGGCGCTCGCTCTCTATTGCTCGCCGCCGATCGCCTCCGGCAAGTGCTCCCCGAGATGGCGCGCCTCTTTGCAGCTGCTACTTGTTGCGCTGGGCGTTCGCGGCGGCTTATGGGCTCTCGCGCGCAGCGGCTGAGCTCTGTGACGAGATGCGCGGGTCCTGCGGGCTGGTCCGAGAGCGAGGCCTCCCAGCTTGTCGAGCCAGCAGCGCTCAAACCTTTTGGCGAGCCTTCAAGATGCCTTCAAGTTTGAACTCAAAGAGCCGCCTTCGGCGCGCTGGGCCTCTGAGCTCAGTCTTTAGCTGTCCTCTAAGAAACATTTTTATTCACCGTCGCTGTGGCAAGGTGCCCATTCACCCCGATGAGTCGCTGTCCGAGTCCGAGTCCGAGTCGAAATCATCACCACCATGGCACAGGCCATGGTATTTGGCGTTACGCGCATAGTATTCTGCATCGAAGCCTTGCGCAGCCGCCCGCTCGAGCCACAGGCGCGACTCATTCGGATCCTGAGACACCCCGGCTCCGTTAAGGAGGCTCATCGCAAGGTAAAACTGCGCCGCGGCGTGTCCCCGGTCCGCGGCCATGCGATACAGTCGCGCCGCCTTCTTCCTATCCAGCTTGATCCCTGTTGGCGCTGTGTCAGCGTACAAGTAACCGAGAAACCACATCGCATCCACGTTCCCGAGCTCCACGGCGCGTTTGTAGAGCTTCTCGGCCTTCTTGCCGGATCGCACGACGCCGTGCCATCCGAACTGATACACGTATCCCAGTTCACAGATGGCTTCCGGCACTTCGCTATCCACATGCCGACGAATACGCGCCAGCTTCTCGCTATAAGATTGCGGAGTCGGCGCCCGACAGAAAGGACACGGCCGAGACGGCTTCTCGCCTGAGTCGAATGGATTTTTTTTGTCGCATGAAAGACAGACCTTGCGGCAGCAACAGGAAAACATCGAAAAGTCCGACTTCACCTCCCAGTCCTCGAGACAGATCGGGCAGCGTGACCCAAAGCGCGCCGACCGCGGCTCCGGCGCCGGATTCGCCTCGCGCCACGCGCGAGCGGCCTCGTGTTCGGCGGCGATGCGAGCGCGAGCCTCGTCGGCGCGCGACCGCAGCGCGGGGCCGTAAAAGACCTCCTCCGGCGCGGGTGTGGAAGCCTCCGCCCGCGCGGCCTCCGCCGCCCGCTCGTCCTGGAGCTTCTTACACGCCGCCCGGTGGCCCCGGTCGCGCCAATCGATGCGTTGACAGGCCGTCGAACAATACGCCGCCGTGGCGCACCCCGAGCATTTACTCTTGCACTGCTTCCCGCAGATCGCGCAATGGCACGCGCGATATGCCTTGGCGCTTGCCTTCTTCTCTTCGTATTCGCGTCGCTTCTCGGTCCAGTGTACGTTCATGCCTCGATTAGCACGCCATGGCGCTCTGCGCGCCCCTGCTGGCGCCCACGGCGCGGTCCGCGGGCCACTGCGGCGAGGACTCGCGACGGTGCGACTTCGTCGCGTGACCTGCACGGGCGTCGTCCTCGTGGATTCGCCTCGGAGCGCGACCCGGACAGTCGCCAAAAAAATTTAGCGGCTTCTGCGGAGGAGTGGGAGGCCTCCAACCATCCACTTTACCGCACCCACCTCGAATTGAACGCACACCATCCCAGGCGCGTGGCTCATGGCACCACAGCTCCCTCTTACCCCCGCCCCCTGAGCATCGCGGGCACGCCGTGGGGCCGCCGCTCGAGGCCCGCGCGCGGCCACGGGTGCGGGTTGCCGACGACGTACTTCTGCTTGAAGGCGGCGACGGCGGCGTCGTAGGCCTCCTGCGTGTCGACGCAGGGCCGGTCGCCGACGTAGGTGTAGAATGCGTGCGCGAAGAAGCGCGCGGCCTCGTCGTGGACCGCGGTCTTCCAGCAGAGGACCTTGACGTTCGGCAGGTCGTGGACGATGCGCCGCGCGATGGCGACGGACGCGCAGGCGTTGAGGAAGCAGAGCTCGAGGTTGTCGCCGCAGCGCTCGAGCACCGCGACGAACTCGCCGGGCTCGGGCGTGATCGCGCTCGTCTCCGGGAACGCGCCGCCGCGGCCGCCGCCGCCGCGCGACACGTCGCGCTGGAAGAGGAGCGAGCCGCCGCCGGCGTTCCACCTGTGTGCAGATCAGATGAGCGTATTTGAATGTTTCGACGCAGCTTCTTGTGCTCCCCGTCCAAAAATCAGCCGAAACGACTTCGATTCGACCGAGCTAGAGAAAGTTGGGTCGGGACGTCCCAAACCATGCACACAGCGTTCCACCAGGCCTCGTTCGCGTTGTGGCCGCTGAAGTGGAAGATGCGGGGGCGGAGGAGCCGCGGCGCGGCGCCGCGCGGGCCGCCGGCCGCGTCGACGCCGAGCGCGCGCACGACGTCGTCGGGCCACCGCGCGGCGGGCACGATCTCGCGCTGGGACGACGGCACGGCCTCGATGAGGCCTGTGACCTCGCGCATGAGCTCGAGCTGCGCGTTCGCGTTCAGCGGGGCAGAAGCCCGCGAGGATCTCGATCTCCTCGCCGCCGTCGTCGTCGCCCGCGCCGAGGCGCCGCAGCGCGAGCCGCGCCTCCTCCAGGTCGAGGCGCGCCTGGGCCGCGCGCCGCTCGCCGAGCGTCGCCTCGGGCTCGGGCCCGGACGCGAGCTCGGGCTCCGACGCCGCGCGGCGGATGGCCCGCGCGGACCGCGGCTTCTTCGTCCGCGAGAGCGCGGGCGACGACTTCCGCGACGTGAGCGGCGAGAGCGCGGGCGACGACTTCCGCGACGCGAGCGGCGTCGACGCGGGCGCCGCGCGGCTCGACGACGACCGCGCGAGCCGCGGCGGCGGCGGCGGCGGCGCCTCGGGCGACGCGGGCGGCTCCGCGTCGGCGGCCTCGGCCTGGCGCTCGAGGAGCAGCGCGAGCGTCGCGATGCGGCGGCCGTCGAAGGGCTCGCTCGCCGCCGCGGCGTCGCCGCCGCCGCCGCCGTCCGCGGGGTCGTCGCCGCCGTCGCCCGCGAAGCGCGGGTCCGCGGCGCGGCGGTTCGCGCGCGCCTCGACGGCCTCGAGGCGCCGGAGCAGCTCCCGGTCGCGGCGCGCGAGGTACGCGCGCCGGCGCTGCCGGTCGAGGGCCGCGTCCGCGTCGCTCAAAGTGCCGTAGAACTTGACGACCGCGTCGCTGCCGCCCGCGACGACCGCGGACGGCGGCGCGCGGAGCTGCGCGTTGTCGCGGAGCAGCAGCGACGATCCGGGCCGCGACACGAAGGCGGCGACGGTCGGCGGCAGGTCGACGAGGTTCGGGTTCGAGCTCAGGTCCAGGCGCCGGAGGCTCGGCGGGCTCGAGAAGAGCGCGTCGTCGACGGTCGCGAGCGAGTTGTCCCGCAGGTCGAGCGCCTCGAGCGCGCCGAGGCAGCCCACGGACGCGGGCACGTCGACGAGCAGGTTCCGCGACAGGTCGAGCGCGACGAGCGACGCCGCGAGCGGCGTCTTCGCGCCGTCGAGCGGGAACTTGAAGAGCGCCGACGGCCAGCGGTGCAGCCGGTTCTCCGACGCGTCGAGCCGCGCGAGGCTCAGCGCCGCCCAGGATGCGGGCAGCGCCTCGAGGCCGCTCCCGACGTGGCGCGCGGCGAGCGACCGGAGCGTCCGCGCGGCCGCGATCGCGTCGACGGCGACGACGTTGAGGTTCGCGCAGTAGGACACGTCGAGGCTCGTGAGCTGGAGCGAGAGCAGCGGCGGCGGGAGCCGCGCGAGGGTCGAGCTCTGCAGCGTCGCGCGCACGCGCGCCGCCCGGCGCGCCGGCTCCAGCGCCGCGACGACGCGCTCCGCCGTCGCGGACCGCCGCAGGTCGAGGACGGTCTCTTCCTCCTCGGCCGGCCGCTCGGGCGCGGGCGCCGGCGCGGAGGAATCCTCGGACGGCGACCGGAGCCGCGGCGCCGCGGCCGAATCCTCCGACGGCGACCGGAGCCGCGCGGCGGCGGACTTGTCCTCGCGCGCCGTCGCCAGGGTCAGCGGGGCGGACGCGCCCTCGAAGTTCATCGCGAACTCGAGCCGCGCGTGGCGCGACGTCTTGCGCCAGGCCCGCTCGTTCGCGCGGCTCATCACTCGCGTCGCTTCGCGCCTTTCGCCGCGGCTGCCGCTGCTGCCGTCCGAGCGCCGCGACCGCGGCAGCGACGCGGAGCCGCCGCTGTTCGTCCGGCGCGGCTTCGCGTCCGGCGTCGGCGTCCAGACGACGTCGCGGCCGCGGCCGGCGCCCGTCGGCCGGGCCACCGGCGAGTGCAGCGTCTGGGAGAGCGAGTCTTCCACGGCGATGGAGTCGATGGCGGCGACCTCGTTCGTCGCTGAGCCCGTGCTAAGCCGGTGCTCGAGCGGCTCCGGCGCGGCGCGGTCGTCGTCGTCCGGCAGCACGTCCTCGTCCGAATCTGGGGCCCTGAGCCATTCGTAGTAGTCGTCGTCGTCGGTGCTCGCGTCGCAATCCATGCGCGCCGTCTTGCGCGCAGCTGCGGCTCGAGTTTAGCTGCCGCCCATACCGAGCTTTGCGGAGGTCCGAGTCGACGTTGATGAATGCGTGCAGTGCAACCTCCGGACGCCTGCGCGCGCCGAAAGCACAAGCGAAAGCACAATACGCAGCGTCACAGGAACCGTCTTATGGGGTCGTCGTTGGGCACCTCGCAGTCGACGCTGAGCGCCACGCGCGGCGGCGCGTCCGGGGCGCCGACGGCCGCGGTGCCGTGGAGCACCTCGCCGTTCCGGAAGAAGACGAGCTCGCCGGGCTCCATGCCGAGCGTGTGGAAGTAGGCGCACCCGTCCGCGCCGCAGTCCGCCGCGAACTCGTCGGCCGAGAAGACCCGCGCGGTCGGCGAAGACCCGCCGCCGCCGCCGAAGGGCGAGAGCGCGCGCCGCGGACACGCGTTGTCGTAGAGCCACGTGCTGTTCGAGAGGAGGAGCGGCGCAGCGTCGACGACATGCAGGGGAAGCCAGGCCCGCACGGCGTAGGCCGGCGGCGACGGCGTCACGTCCTCGCACGCTTGCCCGTCCGATTTCACCGCGTCGTAGTGCATGTTCTGCGGTGCGGCCGCCGGGCGACCGAAGACCGTGACGCCGGCGCAGGCGACGCCGCCGCCGAAGCGCTCCGTCGCGAGCTCGCGGACTCGTGCCTCGAGTCTCGTCGCGTGCGTCGCCGCCGCGGAGAAGCGGTTTCGAAGACACGATTCGGCTCGTCCGCACGCGGAGGCGGCGTCCGCGACGAGCGCGGCGAGGTCCGCGTCGCGCGGCGCGTAGACGAAGCCTTCGCGCGCGATGGTCGTCGCGATTTGCGTTATGCCTTGCGCGCGGATGGGTGCCGGCTCGAGGACGTCTCCGTCTGATGTGGAAAAAAAGTGGCTGTCAGTCTCCAAGACGTTACTGCGCGCGACGGCTGCGAACAACGAGCAGAGCAATGAGAAACGCGCCATCATCAGAGCACAGCGAGCTCGCGAAGCTGCGCAGCGAGCCCGCGAAGCTGCGCAAGCGCGTGCTGCCTCTAGCAAGCCATAAGCAAGCGCTGCGCACCAGATTCCCAGGGCAAAGTTGCATGCTCTGCGAGCCGGGCCAGCCCGATGGCAGTCGGCAGCAGCTCGAGGCGGCATTCCAATGAGACCACGATGGCTCGCCCTGCCCGAGGCGGCATTCTAATAAAACCGTAAAAATGGTGGAGAACGGGAACCGGAAGAACGGGCACTCGCACGCGCGCGAGGTGACCGTCGTCGTAGCCAGCGTCAGCGGCCTCAAGACGGCGCTGGCCGGCAGCGATCGGCGCGTCTTTGTGAGGGTGCGAAGCGCGGCGGAGTCCAAGTGGCAGCGGACGGCGTGCGCGCCGCGGAGCGCCGCGGCGTGGGATGAGGTCTTCGCCGTCAACCACGTGCACCGCGGCCAGCTCTTCGTCGAGGTCGTCGAGGAGGGCCGGAAGAAGGCGAGCTTCAGCGCCGTCGCGCCGCTCGAGGCCCAGGGCCGCTTCCAGCTGCCGCTGGCGCCCGGCGTGGCGCTGACGTGCACGGTGCGGCGCGGGTCGCCGCTGACGTCGTTCGCGGAGACGGAGGCGCTGATCGTCGCGCTCTCCGGGCGGCTCGAGCGCGCGGACGCGGATCGCAAGCGGCGCTTCTTCGCCTGGGTCCGGGCGTCGCAGCTCCGGAGCGGGTTCCGCTGCTTCCAGGCGGGGCTGCGCGCGCGGACCGGCGTCGCGCCCCGCCGCGCGGCTCCGGCGGACCTAAAAAACGCAGGTACGGACGCGGCGCGACACGGACGCGGAGCTGCGGCGCGAGCGGCGCGCGCGGTCCGAGGCCGAGGACGCGCTGAGCTCCGCGGTGTCGGCGCGCGACGGCCGCTCCGAGGAGCGCGAGCGCCTGCTCCGGGACCAGCACGAGGCCGCGATCGCCGCGGCGACGGCCATCGCCGCGAGCGCGATCCGCTACCACGAGGACCTCGCGCGCGAGACGGCGGCGGCGCACGCCGCGGAGCTCCGGGAGACCGTCCAGGCCCTCGAGCGCAAGCGCGCGGACGCCGTGCGCGAGCTCGAGGAGACCTACGCCGGTGTCGTCCGGGACCGGGACGAGGCCTACGGGAAGCAGGTCGTGCTCCTCCGCGAGCGCCGGTGTCGTAGGCGCCTCGCATCGGCGGGGCCCCGAGAGAGAGCGTCCGCGCTTCGAGCGAGGATCGCGCCGCGACCGCGCCCGCGCCCGAAGAGCGTCCCGAAGAGCGTCCCGAAGAGCGTCCCGAAGAGAGCGTCCCGAAGAGAGCGTCCCGAAGAGCGCCTCGTCTCGTCTCGACCGCGCCCGCGCAGGCGAGGGCCACGCGGCGGAGCTCGCCGCGCTCCGCGACGGCCACGACTCGGCGCTCTCCGCGGCCGCGGAGATGATGGAGCTCGAGAAGCAGCGGCAGTGCGACGCGGCGCTCGCCGACGCCGCGCGCCAGCGCGACCGGTCCTTCACGGAGGAGAAGGAGGCCCTCGAGGCCGCGCTGCGCGACGGCCACGGCCGCGACCGCGAGGCGCTCGAGCGGCAGCACGGCGAGCACCTCGAGAAGCTCCGCTCGCGGACGCGCGAGCTCGAGGAGGCCGCCGCGGACGCGGAGCGGCGCCACGCGGACGGCCTCGCGGAGGTCGAGCGGCACCACGTCTCCGAGCGCCGCCGGGAGCTCGCCGCGCGCGACGACGCGCACACGGATGCGCTCGAGAGCAGCGAGGCGGCCCTCGCGACGCGGCACCGCGCGGCCATGGACGAGCAGGCCGAGAGCCACCGGGCCCTCTACGAGGCCCAGGCGACGACGCACCGGGCCGCGCTCGACGCGCAGGCGTCGAGCCACCAGGTCGCCATGGAGACGCTCGCGTCGAGCCCGGTGTTCGCGCGGAGGTGCCTCGGGCGCCTGGGAACGATCCCCCGCAGGTCGAGCCACAAGGCCGCGTTCGAGAAGCAGGTCGCGAACCACAAGCAGCTCATGGACGACCACACGGCGACGCACGAGGAGACGTCGCGCGTGCGCGACAGCGTCGGCGCGTCGGCGCCTACGTAGGCGCCTACGAGGCTACGTAGCCTCCGAACCCTACGGACCCGCGCGACCCTCGCAGGTGCGCGACGACTCCTACGGGAAGCAGCTCGGGCAGATGCGCGAGAGCCACGCGGTCGCCGTCGAGGCCATGCGCCGCGGCCACGACCAGCGTCCCGTGGTCACGACGTTTTTCCCGGAACAACAACTCGTAGGCCACGACGAGGCGCTCAAGACCGAGAAGCAGATGACCGTCGACGCCAAGGACCGCGAGCACGGCGCCGCCGTGCTCCACGCCCTCCGGGAGCGCGACGAGGCGCACGCGGCCGAGCGCCAGGCGCTCGAGGACGTCATCGCCTCGCGCCACGCGCAGGAGCTCGCGGCCAGGAGCGCGAGCCACGAGGAGGAGCTCGCGGCCGTCGCGCGCCGGCACGAGGACGCGCTCCAGGCGTCGCACGCCGAGAAGGACCGCGCGCACGACGAGCGCCTCGCGGCTGCGCTCGGCTCGATGCGCGACGACCACGACGCGGCGCTCGGCTCGATGCGCGACGACCACGACGCGGCCCGCGCCGAGGACGCGAACGCTCGCGCGCGCCGCGTCGTCGGCCGCTGGCTCCACCGCTTGCTCTCCGAGGGCTGGAACAAGTGGCGCACGTCCGTCCGCGTCGCCACGGTCGCGGAGATGCGGGAGCAGCACGCGAGAGAGATCGCGGCACTGCGAAACGCGGCGCGCGCCGAGGACGCGAACGCCCGGGCGCGGCGCGTCGTCGGCCGCTGGCTCCACCGCTTGCTCTCCGAGGGCTGGAACAAATGGCGCACGTCCGCCCGCGAGGCGACCCACGCCGCGGCGCTCGCGGAGGCCGCTCGCGTCCGCGACGGCCAGACCGCGTCGCTGCGCGAGCAGCACGACGCCGCGCTCGCGGCGGCCGCCGAGGCGTCGAGGCTCGAGCGGGACCGGGACCTCCTCGCCGCGCGCGCGGCCCTGGCGCGGGACCACGACGGCGCCCTGGCCGCGGCGCTCGCGGCCCGCGAGGCCGAGCTGCGCGCCGACTTCGAGGCCGCGCTCGAGGAGGAGCGCGCGGCGCGCGACGCGAGCCTCGACGCGCAGCGCGCCGAGCACGCCGAGGCGGCGGCCGCGCGCGAGCGGGCCTTCGACGACGAGCGGTCGACGCTCGAGGAGGAGCTCGTGACGACGCTCGTCGAGCGCCACGCGAAGGAGCTCGAGAAGCGGAACGCGGAGCACGCGATCCTCGTCGCCAACTGCGAGCGGAGCGCGCGCGCCGAGCTCGACTGCCGGCGCGGCTGCGAGGAGGACCTGCGCGTCAAGCACAAGGAGGCCCTCGCCGACCAGGCGAAGAAGCACGCCGCCGCGCTCCAGGAGCGCGACAACGAGTACGTGACCCAGCTCCAGGCGCTCCGGGAGACGCACGCGGCGGCCGTCTCCGCGATGCGCGAGAATCACGTCCGTCCGCGGCGTCCGCGCGCGCGCGCGCCGCTCGAAACAAGTCTTCGCTCGAAAAATTGGATTTACGTAGGCCGCCTCCCTGGGATCGACGCGGGAGATGGCTCGCCTCGAGAAGGACCACGAGCATCGGAGCCTGGTGACGAACGCGCTCCGGGAGCGGGACGACACGCACGGCGCGGAACGCCGGGCCCTCGAGGACGCGCTCGCCGCGGACCACGCGCGCGACCTGGCCGCGAGGAGCGCCGCGCACGACGCGGCCTTTGGCACGTTGGCGGCGCAGCACGACGCGCGCCTCGCGGAGCACGCGGCGCAGCAGGCCCTCCACCTCCAGCAGGCGCTGGAGGCCGCCCGGCGCGAGCGCGACCTCGACAACGACGAGAAGCTCGCCGTCGCGCTCCGCGACAGGGACGAAGCGCACGAGATCGAAAAGGACGAGCTCGACCTCTTCCTCATGTGCAAGTCCGAGCGGGAGCTCGACGCGCGGTCGAGCGCCTACGACCGCGAGCTCGCGAGCAAGGACGAGCAGTTCCGGGCGCTCGAGGCCGAGCTCCGCGCGGACCGCGAGCACTTTGCGAGCCAGCTCGCCGAGCTCGAAGCGCGCCACACCGCGGAGATGGAAGAGCGGATGGCCGAGCTCGAGGAGTCGCACTTCGAGGCCATGAACGAAGCGGTGTGCAGCGTCGCGGCGGACAAGGACCGGGAGCGCGACATCTCCCTCTCGTCGCGGACTCAGACGCTCACGGAGCGACATCGGGAGGAGCTCGAGCTGGCCGCCGAGCGACACGACGCGACGATGGCGTCCGTAGCGCTCGCCGAGTTGATGTTGTTTTGTTGGAGAATTCACTTGTGTTTTTTAGGCGGCGGCGGCGGAAGCGTCTTTGCGGGAGCAGCACGAGACCGCGTTCTTCGCCGCCGTAGACCGACATACCGACCAGCTCGCCGCCCAGCGCCAGAGCCACGAAACCGAGCTCGCCACGTCGATGGCCAAATTCAGCAACGACCGGGCCCGTCGAGTTCTTGGTAGGTGGCTGCATCGCATGGTCGGCCAGGGCTTCGAGAAGTGGCGCTCGTCCGCCCGCGTCGCGACCGTGGCCGAGCTTCGGGCGCGGCACGCCCGGGAGCTGGCCGCTCTGCACGAGGCCGCACGCGCCAAAGAGATGAAGGACAAAACGCGGCGGGTCCTTGGGCGCTGGTTGCACCGTCTTTTGAGCTCCGGGCTGGACGCTTGGAAAGCCTCGGTCGCCGCGATGCAGACGAGTGAGGCGCAAGCGAAGCTGACGGCCGAGCAGATGCGCACGGGCCTCTACTCGCAGCTCTCGAGGTCTACACATGAGCCGCTCAAGGCCATGAAACGCCTCGAGCACCTCGACGAGTGGCGGGGCCTGCAGACCTGGAAGGCGGCGGCGCACGCGATGCGCGAGGTCGCCGAGAAACGGACCGCGGCGGCAACCAAGGCGCTCGCGACCCTGTCCCGCGTCGAAGGGCGTCTGTTGCGCGCGGGCTACTTGACGTGGACGCTGTTTTGCCGCGCCTCGAGGACGTGCGAGCGACTGTGCAAGAGATGGAAACACGCGGCGGAGTATCACGCGGTGCGGACCTGGACGTCCTTCGTCGCCTCGGCGAAACGTTGGGCCCGAGCCGCGTCGCTCGCGACCAGGGTCATCCGACGCATGCGTCGCATGGACCAATTCGTCGCCTGGCGGCGATGGGAGGCGCACAGCGCGCGAGCGCTCGTCGAAGAGCACGCGTCGACGATCCAGCGGATGCGCGAGTCGGACGCCTGCGGCCGCGCGCTGAGACTCATGGGCGACGCGTCCCTCCGGGCCGTGAACCGGCGCTTCGCGGTGTGGGTGACCAACGTGGGCCAAAGTCGGTCGCAGCGGCGCAAGATGCGGGCCGTGTTTTTGCGGATGATGCTGCGGCGGCAGTCCGTCGGCTTTTCTACCTGGAAGCACGAGGCGGCCGCGCGCGCGGCCCTCCAGGCGAAGATGCGCCGGGCGCTCGCGCGCATGCGGAACTCATTTGTTTCGGCTGGCTGGCGCCAATGGCGATGCGTCCACGACGCTACCGTCCGCGCGGAGTCCCTCACGAGCAAGGTCCTAGGACGTTTGCTGAAGCGGGCCCTCTCGCGCTCTTGGTCGCAGTGGCGAATGTGCAGCGTCTACCTCGCAAGGCACGCGGCGGAACAAAAAGCGCATGCGAAGACCGCGAGCATGCGCTTGTCCGGTATTCGCCGGGCGCTGCAGGCGCGCATGTCGACAAACGCGCGTCGGCGTCTTTTCGGGGTCTGGATGCAGTGGCTTCGCTACGTTAGATTCGTCGATGCGCTTCGACTGCAACAGAATCGAGCCCGAAGAGTTCTGGGCAGATGGCTGAACCGATTGCTTGGCGAGGGCTTTGAGAAGTGGTTGACGTCGGTCCGCGTCGCGACCGTGGCCGAGCTTCGGGAGCGGCACGCAGAGGAGCTGGCCGCGGCGCGCATGAAAAACGCCACCGATCGCGCCCGTCGAGTTCTCCGTCGGTGGGTCCAATCTTGGTTGAGCAAGGGCTGGGACGCGTGGCAAGCGTTTGCTCAAGACGCGGGCACCGAGGAGATCCGGGCGCAGCATATGCGAGAGTTGGCCGCTCTGCGCGACGCCGGGAGTGAGGCGCAAGCGAAGCTGACACGGACCGCGGCGGCGACGAAGGCGCTCGCGACGCTGTCCCGCGTCGAAGGGCGTCTGTTGCGCGCGGGCTACTTGACGTGGACGCTGTTTTGCCGCGCCTCGAGGACGTGCGAGCGACTGTGCAAGAGATGGAAACACGCGGCGGAGTATCACGCGGTGCGGACCTGGACGTCCTTCGTCGCCTCGGCGAAACGTTGGGCCCGAGCCGCGTCGCTCGCGACCAGGGTCATCCGACGCATGCGTCGCATGGACCAATTCGTCGCCTGGCGGCGATGGGAGGCGCACAGCGCGCGAGCGCTCGTCGAAGAGCACGCGTCGACGATCCAGCGGATGCGCGAGTCGGACGCCTGCGGCCGCGCGCTGAGACTCATGGGCGACGCGTCCCTCCGGGCCGTGAACCGGCGCTTCGCGGTGTGGGTGACCAACGTGGGCCAAAGTCGGTCGCAGCGGCGCAAGATGCGGGCCGTGTTTTTGCGGATGATGCTGCGGCGGCAGTCCGTCGGCTTTTCTACCTGGAAGCACGAGGCGGCCGCGCGCGCGGCCCTCCAGGCGAAGATGCGCCGGGCGCTCGCGCGCATGCGGAACTCATTTGTTTCGGCTGGCTGGCGCCAATGGCGATGCGTCCACGACGCTACCGTCCGCGCGGAGTCCCTCACGAGCAAGGTCCTAGGACGTTTGCTGAAGCGGGCCCTCTCGCGCTCTTGGTCGCAGTGGCGAATGTGCAGCGTCTACCTCGCAAGGCACGCGGCGGAACAAAAAGCGCATGCGAAGACCGCGAGCATGCGCTTGTCCGGTATTCGCCGGGCGCTGCAGGCGCGCATGTCGACAAACGCGCGTCGGCGTCTTTTCGGGGTCTGGATGCAGTGGCTTCGCTACGTTAGATTCGTCGATGCGCTTCGACTGCAACAGAATCGAGCCCGAAGAGTTCTGGGCAGATGGCTGAACCGATTGCTTGGCGAGGGCTTTGAGAAGTGGTTGACGTCGGTCCGCGTCGCGACCGTGGCCGAGCTTCGGGAGCGGCACGCAGAGGAGCTGGCCGCGGCGCGCATGAAAAACGCCACCGATCGCGCCCGTCGAGTTCTCCGTCGGTGGGTCCAATCTTGGTTGAGCAAGGGCTGGGACGCGTGGCAAGCGTTTGCTCAAGACGCGGGCACCGAGGAGATCCGGGCGCAGCATATGCGAGAGTTGGCCGCTCTGCGCGACGCCGGGAGTGAGGCGCAAGCGAAGCTGACACGGACCGCGGCGGCGACGAAGGCGCTCGCGACGCTGTCCCGCGTCGAAGGGCGTCTGTTGCGCGCGGGCTACTTGACGTGGACGCTGTTTTGCCGCGCCTCGAGGACGTGCGAGCGACTGTGCAAGAGATGGAAACACGCGGCGGAGTATCACGCGGTGCGGACCTGGACGTCCTTCGTCGCCTCGGCGAAACGTTGGGCCCGAGCCGCGTCGCTCGCGACCAGGGTCATCCGACGCATGCGTCGCATGGACCAATTCGTCGCCTGGCGGCGATGGGAGGCGCACAGCGCGCGAGCGCTCGTCGAAGAGCACGCGTCGACGATCCAGCGGATGCGCGAGTCGGACGCCTGCGGCCGCGCGCTGAGACTCATGGGCGACGCGTCCCTCCGGGCCGTGAACCGGCGCTTCGCGGTGTGGGTGACCAACGTGGGCCAAAGTCGGTCGCAGCGGCGCAAGATGCGGGCCGTGTTTTTGCGGATGATGCTGCGGCGGCAGTCCGTCGGCTTTTCTACCTGGAAGCACGAGGCGGCCGCGCGCGCGGCCCTCCAGGCGAAGATGCGCCGGGCGCTCGCGCGCATGCGGAACTCATTTGTTTTGGCTGGCTGGCGCCAATGGCGATGCGTCCACGACGCTACCGTCCGCGCGGAGTCCCTCACGAGCAAAGTCCTAGGACGCTTGCTGAAGCGGGCCCTCTCGCGCTCTTGGTCGCAGTGGCGAATGTACAGCGTCTACCTCGCAAGGCACGCGGCGGAACAAAAGGCGCATGCGAAGACCGCGGAGCTTCGAGAACAACACGCGAAGGAGCTGGCCGCTCTGCATGAGGCCGCGCGCACGGAGGCCGCCACGGATCGCGCGCGGCGGGTCCTCCGTCGGTGGACCTGCCGGCTATTGAGCGATGGCTTCGAGACGTGGTCCTCGTCGGCTCGAGCCGCGGGCGCCGAGGAGATTCGGCAGCAGCACGCGAGCGAAATCGAGCTGGTCCGACAGCGGCTCCTCTCGGAGCAGAATAAGAACAAGCTGTTCTCCCGGATATCCGCGTCGACGCACGACCCGCTGCGCGCCGTCATGCGCCTCGACTGCCTGGACCTGTGGCGCGCCTTTCGGACCTGGATCTCGTTCACCGCGGAATCCGCCGCCGCGCTCGACGCCAGGAAGCAAGCCATTGCCTCGGCCGTCGAGCTCTTCCTCAACGTCGAGCTCCGGCACTGCCACGCGGCGATGGCGACGTGGCGAGAGTACGTGGACGCACAGCGGGTCTGCGAGAAGCTTGTTAGACGATGGACGCACTCCGTCGCGGCGGGCGCCTGGCGGAGCTGGGTCGAGTGGGCGTCGTTCACGCGACGACGTGCCGCTGCCGTGAGCATCGCGTCGCGACTGATCGCTCGCCTGTGTCGGGGCGACCGCCTTGCGGCCTGGCGGCGCTGGGAGCGCTTCTGCCGGCACCGTGCCGACTGCGTCGCGGAGGAGGCCAACGCGAGACTGCGGAAGAGGACCATGGCGACCTGGTTCGACAGGGTCGTCGTGAAGCGGAGCGTCGCGCCCGCGTGGCATACTTGGACGAGCGCGGCGCGCGCGGCGCACATCGCAGACTTGACGGCGCGGCACAAACTCGCTCTCGAGGCCGCGATCCAGGAGCGCGACAGCTATACCCAGGAGCTTCAGTTGGCGGAAGCAACCCATGCGGGCACTATGGCGGCCGTCGTGCGTGAAAACGCGACAGAAAGACGAAAGCTCGAGTCCCAGCTCTGCGAGCAGCACAACTGTACCTTGGAGACGCGGGACGCGAGCCACGCGGAAGCAATCGCGAAGCTCCGGGAGGAGCATCGCGTTCTAGTCGACGACCGCGAGCGGAAGACGTCCGCGGATATTGCCGTGTTGCACGAGACCATGCGTATGAAAGACGCGAGTGACCGGACGCGGCGGCTTATTGGCCGATGGCTCAATCAATTTCTGAGCAAGGCTTGGCGCGCCTGGCGAGCCTGGGTTCGAGACATGGGCGTCACGGAGATCAAGGAGCAGCACGCGCAGGAAATTGCGGCGCTCAACGCGACCGTCGGGCAGATGCGCGAGGCCGCATTTACGGAGGCCGCCACGGATCGCGCCCGTCGAGTCCTCCGTCGGTGGACCTGCCGGCTGTTGAGCGAGGGCTTCGAGACATGGTGCTCGTCCGCCCGAGCCGCGGGCGCCGAGGCGATCCGGCGGCAGCATGCCGAGGAGCTGGCCGCCGCGCGCACGGAGGCTGCCTACGAGCGGGCCCGGCGGGTCCTCGGCCGCTGGCTGCATCGCGTGGTCGGCCAGGGCTTCGAGATGTGGCGCTCGTCTACCCGAGCCGCGGGCGCCGAGGCGATCCGGCGGCAGCATGCCGAGGAGCTGGCGGCCGCGCGCACGGAGGCCGCCAGGGATCGCGCCCGTCGAGTCCTCCGTCGGTGGGCGTGCCGCTTGTTAGGCGACGGCTTCGCAAAGTGGTCCTCGTCCGCCCGAGCCGCAAGATCCGAAGAGGTCCGGCGGCAGCACGCCGAGGAGCTGGCGGCCGCGCGCACGGAGGCGGCCAACGATCGCGCGCGGCGCGTTCTCCGTCGCTGGACCTGCCGGTTGTTGAGCGACGGCTTCGAGACATGGTGCTCAACGGTTCGAGCCGCGGGCGCCGAAGAAACTCGGCAACAGCACGCCGAGGAGCTGGCGCTCCTACGCATGGCCGCGCGCACGGAGGCCGCCAACGATCGGGCCCGCCGCGTTCTGGGCAGATGGTTGCATCGCGTGGTCGGCCAGGGCTTCGAGATGTGGCGCTCGTCTACCCGAGCTGCGGGAGCCGAGGCGATCCGGCGGCAGCACGCCGAGGAGCTGGCCGCCGCGCGCACGGAGGCCGCCAGGGATCGCGCCCGGCGGGTCCTCGGCCGCTGGCTGCACCGCTTGGTCGGCCAGGGCTTCGAGATGTGGTGCTCGTCGGCTCGAGCCGCGGGCGCCGAAGAAATTCGGCGGCGGCACGCCGAGGAGCTGGCGCTCCTGCGCGCGACCGCGAGCACGGAGGCTGCCTACGATCGGGCCCGTCGAGTTCTGGGCAGATGGCTGCATCGCGTGGTCGGCCAGGGCTTCGCAAAGTGGTGCTCGTCCGCTCGGGCCGCGGGCGCCGAGGAGATCCAGCGGCGGCACGCCGAGGAGCTGGCCGCCTTGTGCGCGGAGGCGGCCAACGATCGCGCCCGTCGAGCTCTCTGCCGCTGGGCGTGCCGCTTGTTGAGCGAGGCCTTCGCAAAGTGGTGCTCGTCCGCTCGGGCCGCGGGCGCCGAGGCGATCCGGCGGCAGCACGCCGAGGAGCTGGCCGCCGCGCGCACGGAGGCCGCCAGGGATCGCGCCCGGCGGGTCCTTGGCCGCTGGCTGCACCGCGTGGTCGGCCAGGGCTTCGCAAAGTGGTGCTCATCCGCCCGAGCCGCGGGCGCCGAGGCGATCCAGCAGCAGCATATGCGAGAATTAGCCGCTCTGCGCGCGACCGCGCGCACGGAGGCTGCCTACGAGCGGGCCCGTCGAGTTCTGGGCAGATGGCTGCATCGCGTGGTCGGCCAGGGCTTCGAGATGTGGCGCTCGTCTACCCGAGCCGCGGGCGCCGAGGCGATCCGGCAGCAGCATATGCGAGAATTAGCCGCTCTGCGCGCGACCGCACGCACGGAGGCTGCCAATGATCGGGCCCGGCGAGTTCTCTGTCGCTGGCTGCATCGCGTGGTCGGCCAGGGCTTCGAGACATGGTGCTCGCGGGCTCGAGCCGCGGGCGCCGAGGAGATCCGGCGGCGGCACGCCGAGGAGCTGGCGCGGCACGAGCAGGCCCTCGAAGTCGCGATCCAGGAGCGCGACAGCTATACACAGGAGCTTCAGTTGGCGGAAGCAACCCATGCGGGCACTATGGCGGCCATCGTGCGCGAAAACGCCGCGGAAAGACAAAAGCTCGAGGCCAAAATTCGAGATCAGCACGCGCTTGAAGTCGCCACGCTGCATCAAGCTATGAGCACCAAGGACGGGGCGACCGCGGAAGGCCACGCCGAGGAGCTCGCGGCGATGGCGGCGACCCACGAGACGGCGCGGCTTCGCTCGGAAGAGCGCGAACAGGACCTGTCGCGGAAATTCGCCGAGATGGAGGAGCAATATTCGCGCCAACTGCGGGACCAGCAGGAGGAGCTCGAGGGCCGGCTCGCGGACGTCGCGACGCGCTGGCGGAGCTCCGCGCGGGCCTCGGCCGCAGACAATGTAACGCGCGCCGTCCTGGACATGATACACGGCCGCCTACGCACGGCATGGCGCACGTGGACGAGCCGCGTGAAGACCGCGAGCGTGGCGGAGATCAAGGAGCAGCACGCGATGGAAATGGCAGCTCTGCGCGACGCGACTCGGGTCGAGGCCGCCAACGAGCGGACGCGGCGGGTCATCCGTCGCTGGATGCACCGCCTTCTGGGCGAGGGCTGGGACGCGTGGACCCGCCACTTTCGGGACGCGTGCGAGCGCCAAGTCGTGCGCGAGAAGCTCCCGCAGAGCCTCTTCACCATCGTGTCCACGTTCGTCTTCCACCGGCTCGCCCGAGCGTTCCGCAAGTGGATCGACGTCATGTTCTATGCACACGTGTGTACAAGACGCGCCGTCGAGCGCCTCTTCTACTCCACAAGGGCGTGGAAATACCGCCAGGGCGTGAGCCGGGCCTTCTCGCTGTGGTTTCGCCACGTCGTGTCGACGCAGGTGATGCACGAGCTCATCGAGCTCTCGCGCGGCCACCTCCGCGGGCTCCGGGCGCGCATCCTCCGCCGCGTGAGATCCGTGCTCGTGGGCTACCGCCGCCACACCGCCCGGACGTTCGTCCACTGGCTGCACTTCTCGCTCTGGTGTAGCACGCGGCCGCCCCAGTCCTTCGGCGCGCGCACGCCGCGCCTCGCGACGCCGGGCGTCCGGCCGGGGTACGGGAGGGGGTTGGTGCTGACGTAAGAGGGCGTCGTTAGCCCTGGAACCCGCATGAGGTTTCGCGGAGCTGGCGGGTTTGGGTTCTCGCGGGCTTCAGCCGCAATGCACCGTTTTCAGCTAGGCGCGCTTCAATGAAGTCTTCAACGATCTTGGCAGCAAAAGCCGGGGTGATTCAACGTCGCTTCTACGTGGGAACTCCGCGCGCACGCTCTCCACTTCGATACCGCTCCGAGAGCTGATCGCTCGTCCAAAAACCAGTCGAGACGAGTGGAAAACGGCCGGGGGGGGGGGGCGGGCCGCGCCCGCCTACGAGGTCGAGAGCGGCGCCGCGGAGCCGACCTTGTCGCAGACGGAGGGCATGATGCCCGCGGCGCCGGCGACGAGGCGGGCGGCCGCGACGAGCATGAAGAGGACCGGGAGCGCGAGGCCGAGGAAGTACTCGCCGTCGTTGATGTTCGGGTACTCGTCCTTGAGGGCGACGGTCGCGAGGATCACGGCCTGGGCAGCAAAAGGGTGATTCAACGTCGCTTCAACGTGAGTTTTCCGCGCGCGCGCGTTCCGGAAAAAGCATCCACGCTTCGAGACCGTTCCGAGAGCGATCGCTCGGTCCAAAAATCAGCCGAAACGAGTGCAAAACGGCCGAGATCGGAGCCTTTGAAGTTGGGAATTTCGCTCTCTTTTGCTGCCCTGATCACGGCGGTGGAGACGATGTAGGTCTGGACCGCGCCGGGCGGGCCGCCGATGTCGGGGATGTCCATCGCGACCCAGTAGCCCACGTCGAAGAGGAACGGCGGCATGCAGGCGAGGAGGACGCAGCGCGACTCCACGGCGATGCAGGCCACGGCGACCCAGGCCTCGACGCCTGCGAGGCGGCGCTGCGACGGCGCGCGCGCGCGGCGCGACGCACCGACGAAGAAGAGGTTCAGCGAGTGCTGGATGAAGACGCGGTTCATCAGGTACGGGTAGCCCTTGCCGTTGTCGTCGTTGCAGCCGCCCTGCGCCTGGACGTCGTCGAAGACCTTGATCTTCGGGCTCATGCCCAGCTTCCCCGCGACCTTCTTGTAGTACTCGGCGATATTCCCGCTCAGGCCGTCGCCGATGGTCAGAAGGCCGGCCATGATGTGCATCATCGCCCATTCGGCTGCGCGGGGGACGAAGCTCGAGCGCGGCGACTCCATCGCTCGCCGGCCGACGCACCCATGAGCACGCATGCCGCGATGCCGACGCCGCCTGCGCGTGGGAGAGGTGACGCTTCGTCCGGCGACGCGCGTGCTGCTGTGGGCGCGGGTCGCGCGCTCGTCATCGTTTCGAGCACTCGTGTGGCGTCGAAACTAAAGCAACCCGGGGTTAATTTTGACCCCCCGAGCTATGGTCACTTTTTTTTTTCACTTTTTTTTTTTTGCGCCGCGAGCCGCGAAGGGTCCAGGGGGTCCCCGGGGACCCGCCCGAGTAGTAAGCGAGCGCGGGGGGGGGGGCGAACGCGCGCCGACCGTCGTAATGCGCCGCGCGGTCCCGCGCGGGCGCGACACGCGGCCGTCGCACGCGCGCTAAAGCGAGTTCCTCGACAACCCGCCGCGTCGCAGCGCCCTTCCCACCCCCTGGTGCCCCGGGGGTCCGCCGGGGCGCGTAGGTGCATCGAAAAAAAAAAGTCAAAAAAAAAGTGCCAATAGCTCCTAGGGGGTCAAAATTAACCCCGATCTGCTTTATTTCGGCGAGCTTCCGGAAGCTGCCACAGAGGGTCACGGCGCACGATCGCGCGAGCGCGCCGTGGACGAGTAGACGATCGCGACGACGGCGACGCAAAACATGGTGACCCTCGCGCCAGTGCTCGACCACAAGGACTCGAAGGTGATGATCTCGGTTTCCCCGCCCACGAAAATCCTCAGCGCCTCGGGCGGGAAGGCGGCGATCCACTTCTATTCGTCCTCGGGCGGGAAGCAATTCTACGACGCGAAGAGCGGGTCGATTCTGGACTGCGGAAAGACGGCGGAGGTGATTTCGCTACGCCGCGGTACGACGAAGCGTAACTTCGAAGTGGTGAACCTCGCGGGCGGCGTCGTCTACACGGCCTCCGTGGCCTACCGCGGCGCGAACGACTTCGACTGGGGCGCCGAGTCGCCCGCGAGCGCGCCGTTCAAAGTCGTGCCTCCCGTCGCGCCGCAAGCGCCGCGGCTCGAACCGGTCTCGACGGTGACCCCGGAGACGGACGACCAACCCGGGGGCGACGCATGGGACGCCGCCTTCGAGTATATGATGCGCGAGTCCCACGACCGCGTCGTCCGCCAGCGGCAGCAGGCCGCCGCCGCGCACGCCGCGATTCGGGACGGGACCCCCAACTTCTCCATCCCGGCGCCGCCCAACGAGTCGCCCCTTTCGCGGATGATGCGCGAGTCCCTCGAACGCAACGTCCGCAAGGAACAACAGGCCGCCGCCGCGGCCGACGTGGGATAGGACGGATATGCCGGGCGTCCGACCGGGGTACGGGAGGGGGCTGGTGATGACGTAAGAGGTCGTCGTGTTGCAACGTTCCATCGTTGTGATGAGTCAGTGAGGGAGCCCCGGCTAGCCCTCAGGGGTTTAGCGATTCTGCCGCATCAGTGAGACCCGGCGCCGCCGAAGTCTTTGAGCGCCTCTACACGGCGCGTCGCGCCGCGGCCCTTTTCTGCGTATCCCGACGCCGAGCGCCGCTGATCCGGTTCCCGCCGCGCTGATGGACGCCGCCGTAATCAAGAAGCGACTCGAGTACGAGAAGGTGAAAGCGCGAATCAAGGAGCTCGAGGCTCTGAAGAACTGCGGGATCTGCGGCGCCGACAAGGCCAAGGCGTGCCAAGGTTGCGGCACGACGGCCTACTGTTCGACGGCCTGTCAACGCATCGACTGGCGCGACCGGGGCCACCGGAAGGCCTGCAAGAAGATCCAGGCCGAGCGGGCGGCAGAGGCGGCGCGGGCGGAGGCGGCGCGCGCGGAGGCGGCGCGCGCGGAGGCGGCGCTGGCAACGCCGACACCCCCGCCGGCGCCCCCGCCGGAGGTCTTCTACGGCCCCGCGCCGCGTTCGCACGCCGACGAGGTCCGCGCGCGCATCGCGGCGGAGCACGAGGCGGCGCGGGCGCGGCGCGAGGCGAACCCGGCGCCGAAGCCGCTATCGGCGCGATTCGGGTCGCGGTGCCCGATTTGTTTCGAGGACTGGGACGTGAACGCTGATTTCCATGGAGATTGGTCCTTATACGCCTGCTGCTGTCGAAAGATCTGCGATTCCTGTTCGGAGAAGACTGGGGAGGAGCCGTGTCCTTTTTGTCGGGCGCCGCATCCGAGTATTCCGGACTTTCTCACTCTGCTTCGCCGCCATGTGGAGAACGAGGTGCCGGAAGCGATTGCGTTTTTGGGGAACTTGTACCTCGAAGGCAAATACGGCCTCGTGCAATCTGCGAAGAAGGCAGCGAAGCTCTACAAACGCGCCGTGGAGCTCGGGGACGTGGATGCGACGAACCATCTTGGTTGGATGTATAAACACGGAAACGGCGTCAAACTCGACAAGAAGAAGGCGGAGCGGCTGTTTCGCATGGCCGCGGACCGGGGACACGCGCCGGCGCAGTTCAATCTGTGGGAGTTGCTTGAGAGCGACGACGAGGAAGAAGAAGGATTACCCTATCTCGAGCGCGCCGCCGCTCTCGAATTCACTCAGGCGGAGTCTGCTCTTGGAGTCGAACATCGATTTCTTGGACCCGTTGTGCAGCATGACCTCGGAAAAGCGAAGCACTGGCTCGCGCGCGCGGCCGCCAAGGGTGACGAGGTTGCGATCCGACTTCTCGAAAATATAGACGACCAAGAACAATTCGACGAACGGGAGCAAGCCGCCGAGCGGGCCGCCGCCGAGCTCCTCCGCGAGCTCGACGGCGCTTAGTTGTCGGGCTTGCCATTGACCGACGTTTTTATGTAGTAATCTGCGAGGCCGCGCGTCTGCTCGAGGCTAAGACTACGCATCAGGGGTTTAGAGGCGCGCGTTGAGGCGCTTGGCCACCGTGCGCATGCGGTTGTAGACCTTGCCCGGCGGCGCGCCGATGATGAGGTCGCAGATCGCGTCCCGGGCGACCTTGATGTTCGCGGCGGAGCCGAGGATGTGGATGTGCGTGTTCGCGACGACGATGCGCGTGCGCGTCGCGTTCTCGATGGCGAAGCGCGTCTTGCCGTCGGCGCCGGCGACGCGGCCGACCGCGCGGCTCAGGTGGTCGCCGTGGAGGATCTTGACGTCCTTCACCTCGAAGGAGTCGACGAAGAGATCCTCGAGCCGCAGCAGGGCCAGCGCGTCCGCGACCTCGAAACCCATGGCGAACGCGGAGACGAAGTCCGCCCCCTTCTGCGCGGCGCCGCCGTCCGTCGTCGTCTCGCACGACTTGATCTCGACGCAGCGCGACCGCGGGTTGAATCTGACCTGGAGCTTCAGCTGCTCCACGAGCGGCGTCACGATCAAGGGCCAGCTCTTGCGCAGCGGCGTGTAGCGGTGCGACGGGATCCGCACCTTGCGGTACTCGGGCTCGTCGTCGGCGGCCTGCTCCGCGGCCGTCAGCGCGTCGAACATCGGCACGCTCTCGTCCGCCGCCGTCTTCTCCTCCTTGACGGCGTCGCCCGCCTTGATGAGCTTGCGCTTGGGCATGGCTATCTGCGCGCGTGTGTGTGCAGCGATTGACGGCCCGAACAAGCGCGTCGAGACGTCTATCGCTCAGCCGACGAGCTTCACGATGTGTGCAATGTGCATCACGTTGCACTACGACCGGCCTCCGTGTGCGTCGCTCGCTCCCAGTGGCTTAGTATGCGCGTCCCTGTCCGCGGTACTGGCGGCGCGCGTCTTGGAAGAAGCGCGCCTGAGCCGCGACGCGGTCGAGCCGCGACGCGCGACTCGACGCGCGCCTCCGCGGATTTCGCGGCGCGGCGCCCGGCGCGGCGTCGTAGGTCGCGCGCCGCTCCGAGTCGCCGAGGACCTTCTTCGCCTCGTTGACCTTCTTGAAGGCCTCCGCCGCGCCCTTCTCGCTGCACTTGTCCGGGTGCACGAGGATGGCCAGGTCGCGGTAGGCGACCTTCACGTCCCGGTCCGTCGCCTCGACCTCGATGCCGAGCACGTCGTAGTGGCTCCCGCTCTGGAGCACGCGGGCGATCATCTGCTTCGTCAGGCGTTTCACCGCGCCCGACTCCGGCGCGGGCGCGGGCGCGGGCGGCGCCGCGGGCGCGGGCGCGGGCGACGCCTTCTTCGCCTTCGCCGCTGGCGCCGGGCGCACGGGCGCCGGCGCGGGCGCGGGCGCCACCTTCGCCGCCTTCGCCGCTGGCGCGGGCGCGGGCGCGGGCGACGCCTTCGCCGCTGGCGCCGGCGCGGGCGCGGGCGACATCTTTGCCGCCTTCGCCGCCGGCGCGGGCGCGGGCGACGCCGCCTTCGCCGCGGGCGCGGGCGCGGGCGCCGCCTTTGCCGCCTTCGCCGCTGGCGCGGGCGCGGGCGCGGGCGACGCCGCCTTCGCCGCCGGTGCGGGCGCGGGCGACGCCTTCGCCGCCTTCGCCGCCTTCGCCGCCGGCGCGGGCGCGGGCGACGCCTTCGCCGCCTTCGCCACCGGCGCGGGCACGGGCGCGGGCGACGCCGCCTTCGCCGCCGGTGCGGGCGCGGGCGACGCCTTCGCCGCCGGCGCGGGCGCCTCCGCCTTCGCCGCTGGCGCCGGCACCGGCTCCGCCGCCGGCGCCAGGCGCACGGGCGCCGCGCGGATCGCCGCGACCATGTCCGCCTTCTCGATGCAGCCGACGAGGCTCGCGCCGCGCGCCAGCGCCTCGGCCTTGAGCTCCTTGACGGAGCGCGCCTCGAGGCCGTCTCCAGCCGGCGCGTCCGCGGCGACTTCGCTTCCGTAGGTCTCCATCTCCAGCGCCGACACGGTGGGGCCGACGCCGTCGTAGCGGATGCTCAGAGACGCGGCGAGCGCTTTCACGTCGGCGGCCAGCGTGCCGACCTTGTCGACATCGATATCCGTGAGCAGACGGTCGACGCGCGCGCGCATGCTGACCGCCATCTTCGTGGAGGAGGCTCGCGTCGTCGTGGCTCGTCGCGGACGCGCCGCGGCGGACGGCTCCGCGAGCGTCTCGCTCCGCGGCCGCTCGGTCTCGGCCGTCTTGTCCTTCGAATCGGCGGCGGGCTTCCGCGGCTTGGACGCGCGGAGCGGCGGCGGCGGCGGCGGCTTCGATGCGCGCCGGGGCGGCTTGGACGCGCGAGGCGCGAGCGGCGGCGGCGGCGGCGGCGGCGGCTTCGAGGCGCGCCGGGGCGGCGGCGGCGGCGGCGGCGGCGGCTTCGAGGCGAGCGGCGGCGGCGGCGGCGGCGGCGGCTTCGAGGCGAGCGGCGGCGGCGGCGGCGGCGGCGCCTTCCAGACGGGCGCAGTCTTGGCGTCGACGGCGGGCGCGGCGCCCTCGACGACGTCCAGCGTCGGCGCGGGCGCGACGTCGACGACGGGCTCCGGGGCCTTGCTCGATGTCTGGACGAGCTTCAACTTCCTCGCTAAGATCGCGCCCAAGCCGCCGCGGGGCGCGACCGCCGCCGACGCCACCCGCATCGGGGCGACGGGCTCCGCGACCGCCGCGGACTCGACCCGGACCGGAGCCGGCGCGGCCCGCTCGACCCGCGGCGGCGCCACGGACGTCGAGAAGGCCACCGACGACGTCGCCACGGGCACGGGTTCCACCGGCCGCTCGTACCGCGCGGCGATGGACTCGTCGATGGACGTCGCGCGCTCCTGTAGCTCCCGCATCGCGCGCGCCGCGTAGTCACTGCGCCGCTGGTCCAGGTCCGAGAGGGTCGCCGCCGGCGGGACCGCGTAGGCGACGGACGCGGACGACACGGGCAGGTGCGGCATGGAGCCGAAGTTCCGCGCGGCGCCCTCGCGAGCGCTTTCGACAATCGCCTTCCGCCGCCGCTCGCCGTCGGGCACGAAGCTGTCGACGTAGGCCGCGGCCTCGAGGCGGGCCTTGGCCGCGGCGTCGACGGGGAGCTCGTCGGCGCGGCGCCGGCGCCCCAGGCGCAAGGGTGCGGTCACGAAGCTGAAGAGGCGCGTGAGGCGTGCGCGTCGTAGCCCGCGGTGCTGACCTGCACGACGTAGCCCGCGGTGCTCGAAGGCGCCGCGTCCTGGAGCCAGGCCGTGTGGATGAGCTGCTCGTCGCAGCCCGAGCGCGTCGGCCGCGGAGGTGATGGTCGGCGGTTTGCTGGGCATGCGCGGGTTGTAGGCCGTCGCGCAGGTTGCAAGGGCGATGAGAAACTGTGTCGCCATCGTTTTCTAATTCTGGCGCGCGCGTTCAAGGCGACGACGACGCTTTGTCCGCATTGGTTGGCGTCCTGCAACCGCCGCGGAAATTCGAACGCTTCAGCAGATGGCGTTGACGTCACCTTCGACTCGAGGGGTCCGAGGTGCCCCCTCAGCGCGCGCAAGCACGATGGGCTGCCCGCGCCAGCACCCACGAAGCAAACCACACCAAAGATAAAATGGCAGCCGACGCATCCTCGAGCGCGGCGCTCGCCGCCGCCGCGCCGAAAGCGGACGACGCGTCGACGTCGACGAGCGCGACGAAGCGCAAGGCCTACAACGTGCTCAACCTCGTGCTCCACGCGGGCCGCGACCTGCTCGTCATGGACACGAAGCTCATGGGCAAGGGCTCGAGCGACCCGCAGGTCAAGCTGGCCGTCGGCAGCGAGAAGTTCATGTCGACGTGCAAGAAGCAGAACCTGAACCCCGCGTGGGACGAGACGTTCCAGTTCGCGCTCATGGACGGGCCGGACGGCGAGACGCTCGAGGTCGAGGTCGAGGACTGGGACCTGCTGTCGAGCAACGACTTCATGGGCCGGTGCTACGTGCCGCTCCGGGACCTCGGCGCCGACCCGACGCGCGCGTGGTACGCGCTCGGCTCCGCGAAGCCCGGCGCGCCCGTCGACAAGCCGCGCGGCGAGGTCGAGCTCGAGCTGAGCCTCGGCTACAACCCGGACTTCGACTACTTTCCAGAAGAAGACCGGCACCCGGGCATGGAGCCGAACCTGCTGCGCATCGGCGTCACGCGCGGCCGCCGCCTGCTGCCCATGGACGTGCAGGCGTCGAAGCTGCTCAAGGGCGCGACGACGTCGGACCCGCGCGCGACGATCTCCGTCGCGTGCAAGACGTTCAAGACAATCTGCGTGAAGAAGTCGCTGGACCCGAGCTGGCACGGCCGCTTCGAGGCGCACGTCGAGGGCGCGGGCCACGCGCTGTCCGTCGTCGTCGAGGACGTCGACGAGCTCAGCGCGGACGACTTCATGGGCGCGGTCGAGATCCCGCGGGCGTCGGGGTCGATTCGACGCGGGAAACACGAGAGGCGACGCGCGCTCCGAGAAAGATGATCGCTCGCCCAAAACTCGGGTGCTTCGACGCGGGAGACACGAGAGGCAACGCGCGTTCCGAGAGAGATGATCGCTCATCCGAAACGCAGGCTCGAGCCCATGCGGGACAAGAAGCGGCACCGCGCCTGGTACGCGCTGACGAACAAGAGCGGCGCCAAGGACAAGGACCGGGGCGAGGTCGAGGTCGTCCTGCGCTGGGCCTTCGAGGAGGCGCTCGAGCGCTTCGTCGAGGAGGGCTTCGACGAGCACGGCGACGAGTGCCTCGCGGAGCCCAACGAGCTCTGCGTGGGCCTCGTCCCAGGGCCGGGCCGACAGAAGGGTGATTCGCGTCTGCCCGGAAGAGAGGATCCGAGAGATGATCGCTCGAGTGGAACGTATGATTCGTGGGGGATCCTACGTTTAGAGACGCGTTCAGGAACACATGACTTCCCACCCCTCAGGTCCAGGGCCGCGACCTGCTGCCCATGGACAGCACGCTCCTCGGCAAGGCGACGACGGCGGACCCCTTCGTCAAGGTGCGCCTCGCGGGCACGGCGGACCGGTTCCAGGTCTGCCGCCACGTGCCCAAGACGCTCCGGCCCTGGTGGAACGCGGAGTTCCGCGTGCCCCTGCCCCTGGCGGCGGCCATGGCCGACGGCGCGAGCCTCGAGCTCGTCGTCGAGGACTACGACATGCTGTCGAAGAACGACTTCATGGGCAAGGCGCTCATCCCGCTCGCGGGCCTCGAGGACAAGAAGACGCGGCGCGCGTGGTACGCGCTCGGCGACGAGCAGGGCCGACAAAGGGTGATTCGACGTCGCTTCGACTCGAGTGTTCCGCGCAAACCAGCCCGAGAGATACGATACGAGAACGCTCCGAGATAGCCTTCGCGTTCTGTTTTTTCGCGCGGCTCGTCCGGGGGTTCTACCGCCGCGAGCGTATCACGGCGCGGGGGGTCCGGGAGCGGTCGCGTGAAGCGGCTCGCGCGAACTCCTCCGCTCGCGGCGGCGGAGCCCCCGGGCGGCCGCGCGAAAAAAACATCGTTCTCGCCCTCAGGCGACAAGGACGGCGTCGTCGCCGGCGACGACGACGGCGGCGGCACGACGCCGTCGAAGCTCGAGCGCACGAAGAGCGCGGGCAAGGGCGGCCTCATGTCGCGGCTCGTCGGCGTCTCGGCGTCCGCCGCCGTCGACCGCGGCGAGGTCGACGTCGTCCTCCGCTACGTGCGCAACAGCGCGCTCGACCACTTCGACGCGGAGAACGCGCACACGAACCCGGGCAAGCAGCCCAACGAGCTCCGCGTCGCGCTGACGATGGCGCGGGGCCTCGTCGGCGTCGACTCGCACCTCTTCGCCGTGCCGACGTCGGACCCGTTCGTGTCGCTCGCGTGCGGCTCCCTCAAGCGGAAGAGCCGCGTGAAGAAGTCGACGCTCGACCCGACGTGGAACCAGTACTTCTCCTTCAAGGTGCCGGGCGAGGACGAGCCCCCCTTCGACGAGCCGGGCGCGCCGTCGACGATCCCGGACCGCCTCGACCTCGTCGTCGAGGACTGGGACCGCTTCTCGTCGCCGGACTTCATGGGCCAGGTGGCCATCGACCTCGCGCCCCTGCGGGACCGCCGATTCCGCCGCGGCTGGTACCCGCTCCGGGGCAAGGACGAAAACGGCGCGCCCGCGAAGCCCGCGCACGACGCGGCCGCCGACGACGGCGCGGCCGCGCGGCCCGACTCCAAGGACCTCAAGAAGCGCTGCCCGCGGGGCCAGGTCGAGGTCGCGCTCCAGTGGGTCTACACGCCGGCCTGCGACTTCTGCGGCGACGCGCCCGACGACGGGGACCGCGTCGGCCGCGCGCTCCGGGCCGCGGCGCCCGGCGCCGCGGCGCGGAAGCCGAACCTGCTCAGGGTCGCCATCCTCAGCGGCCAGGGCCTGCGGCCCATGGACCGGACGGGCCTCTTCGGCGGCGGCGGGTCCGCGGACCCCGTCGCGAAGCTCGCGTGCGCGGGCCAGACGGCGTCGACGGCGACGCGGGCCGCGACGCTCGCGCCCGAGTGGCACGAGACGTTCGAGCTGCCCGTGGAGCCGGACCCGGGGAACCAGCAGCTCGCGCTCGTCCTCGTCGTCGAGGACGTCGACAAGCTCTCGCAGAACGACTTCATGGGCCAGTGCGCCCTCAAGCTCCGCCAGCTCGCGGACGGCGGCCGGCGCCGCGGCTGGCTCAAGCTCCTGGACCGCGACTTCGAGGCGGAGAACGACGGCGAGGCGCCGCGGGGCGAGGTCGAGGTCGTCGCCAAGTGGGAGTACGACGCGTCGCTGGACCACTTCCCCGACTTCGACCGGTGGCCGGACCGGCGGCCGAACGCGCTCCGCGTCGCCGTCATCCAGGGCCGCGAGCTCACGCAGCCCAGGGGCGTCACGGGCAAGGGCGACCGCCTCCACAAGGACGCCCACGTGAGCGTGCGCGTCGCCGACCAGGTCGCCTTCACGCGGGCCGCGCAGGACTTCCCCCGCCCGGACCAGCCCTGGTGGAACGACGAGCTCAAGCTGCCCGTCGAGCGCCCGAACAAGGGCATGGAGGTCGAGGTCACGGTCTGGAGCGGCCGCAAGGCCGTCGCGACGCACGTCTCCAAGATCTGGAAGCACAGCGACAAGGCGCGGCGCCGCGAGTGGCTCGACCTCGAGCACAAGGGCAAGCCCGCGGGCGCGCTCGACGTCGTCGTGCGCTGGGAGTTCGACGCGATCTGCGACTTCGGGCTCCACGCGACGGACGCGGGCGCCGAGGACACGCAGGAGCCCAACGAGATCGGTGCGCGCCGGCGTCTCGGCGAATTTTTAGGACGAGGGAACCTTTCGTCGCCGTAGGCTTCGGCGCGGTCCAGGTCCGCGAGCGGCGGTCGAACATCTCGTCGGCGCCGCTCTTCCGCAAGGAGGACGGCGCGAGCTGGCGCGTGACGCTCAAGGCCGGCCCGCGGCTCACGGCGACGACGCACGCGCGGAAGCCCGCCGAGGGCGCCGCCTTCTTCTTCGGCGACACGAGCGTCTTCCCGCTGCCGCGCGACGGCGTCAAGAAGCTCGACGTCGTCGTCGAGCGCGTCCCCGCGCCGAGCGGCGCGCTCAAGAAGCCCGGGCGGCCCCAGGCCATCGCCTCCGGCACCGTCGAGCTCGACCTGGGCCACTACAAGCCCCGCGAGCGCAAGTTCGTGGCCCTCGAGCCGCCGCGGCGGTCGCGCGCGCTCTCGCGCGTCTCCGTGCGCCGGTCGACGTTCCGCGGCGGCGCGGGCGGCGACGCGGACCTCGAGGTCGAGGTCGCCGCCTGGATCGGCTTCAACCCCGGGCGCACGGCGGCGCAGGGCCGCCTCGAGCGCGAGCTCGACGCGGCCCGGGACCGCGCGGTCGTCTTCGAGTGGTACTCGACGACCACGGGCCTCGGCGCCGTCGTGCTCCTCGAGGTGCCGCGGTCCCCGCTCCGCGCCCCGACGCTCTACGAGGGCGAGCGCGTCCGCGCCGAGGAGGCCCGGGCCGCCGCCGTCGGCGCCGCCGCGGGGCGCCGGCGCCGCGCGGCCGCGCCCGCGGGCCTCTTCCCCGTCGGCGCGACGCTCCGCAAGAGCCCCGTCATGCGCTTCGGCGGCACGAACGCCGTCGTCTCCTGCGACCTCCTCGGCCGCGCCGTCGCGCGCGTCGAGGCGGTGCTGTCGCCGAAGACGGTGCGCGTCGACCTCTTCTCGGACCCCGGCCGCTGGGCCGACGTCGACGCCGCGCCGCGAGCGCCGCCGCCCGCGCCGGCTCCGGCGCCGGCGCCGCGCATGGGCCGCGAGGCCGCGGCGCTCGCGGCGCTCTCGGACGCGGAGCTGCGGACCGCGGCGACGCGGCCGCGCGTCATCGAGTGCGCGCTCCTCGAGCTCCTCGCGACGCCCGCGCCGGACGGCGCGGCGGCCTGGACGCTGAGCGGCGCCAACGCGATCCTCGGCGTGAGCCAGCGGGCGTTGCTCGAGCACCACGCGCAGCACGGCGACAAGTGGCCGTCCTTGGGAACGCTGGCGCGCTGCCACGGCGGCGCGCAGAGCCGGTTCAGCGACATCTCCGGCGGCTCGTCCTTCGCGTCCTTCGCGCGCGACCTCGACGGCGTCGCCGTCGACGGCAAGTGGAGCGACGCCGTGATTCGGCCCGACGTTAGCGACCGCCGTTTATGCTTGGCGCGCGCGGGCGCCGACGCGCCCCCTTCTGCAGGTTCTCGCCGCGGGCGACGCCGTCTCCTTCAAGCTCCCGGACCGCTCCGTCCAGGTCGGCACCATCTCCCGCGTCCACAAGGACGGCAACGGCGCCGGCGGCAAGAAGCGGCGCCGGCCCCTGCCCGTGCGCGGCGGCGAGTGGCACGAGCGCTACGTCGTCCGCCGCGACGACGGCACCGTCGAGATCCTCGCCCGCGCCCGCGTCCCGCGACCGTACTTTGAAGAGTCGTCGTGCTTCGTATAGGTCTGCGCGCGCCTCGACCGCCTCCGGCCGGACACGCAGCGCCTCCGGCGCCGCGCGCTGCTCGAGGAGCTCGCGCGCGTCGCGCGGCTCGGCAAGCACCCGCAGCTCGTGACGCCGTCGCTCGTCTTCCTCAACGGCGCGCGCCGGCGTCCCGCGAGAGATTTCAGCCGGGTGAAAATTCGTCATCGTCGTGCTCCGCAGGCACGCGCGCGCCCTTCTTCTTCCTCCCGGCGGCCCAGCGCCAGTCGCTGGCCCACTTCGCGCGCGGGGGCCGCGGCGCGCTCTACCTGGGCCGCGACGCGGACGGCAACGTCGACGAGGCCGCCGCGGAGGCCGTCAAGCCCGCGGCCGCGCGGCTCCTCGAGGTCCTGCGGCAGGTCGCGGCGGGGCTCGCGCACTGCCACGCGCGCGACCTCGTCCACGGGTCGCTCTCCCACGACAGCGTCGTCGTCGCGGAGCCGGGCTTCAACGTCCAGCTCACGAGCTTCGAGCTGGCCGCGGACCTCGCGAGGCCGCTGCCGACGATGGAGCCCGTCGCGCGAATCCGGGGCTACGTCCACGCCTACCGGTCGCCGGAGGTCAAGTCCGTCTGCGCGCGGCTCGCGTCGGCGCGGAGCGCCGACGACCTCGCCGCCGCGCGCGCGCGCGCGACGGCGACGGCGGCCGAGTCCGACGTCTGGGCGCTCGGCGCGCTCGCGCTCAACCTCTTCGAGCCGCGGCGCCTGCGCTACGCCGCGGCGCCGCCGCCCCCGAGGAAGAAGAAGCCCGACGGCGACGACGACGGCCACGAGGAGGAGGACGACGACCCGGCCGCGGGCGCGACGACGCCCGACGAGGTCCGCGCCGCGCGCCTCGCGGACGTCTCCGGCGAGAACGCGGCCGAGGCCTTCCGCGCCTACTGCGCCAAGGGCGACAAGGGCGCGAGCATGGGGCCCGAGGCGGCGCGCGACTGGCTGCGGTCCGCCGCGGAGAAGGCGCTCGCGCGCGCGGACCGCGGCGCGGCGACGACGCACCGCGGCGCGCACTTCCTCGTCGGCGTCTGCGGCAAGGACGCGACGGGTCCAGTAGCAGCGCCTCGCGTCCCGTCGGAACTTTTGAATGATGGCGCCCCCGCCGCAGGTCGCCACGTGCTGCGCCACCTCGACGGCCCGCGGCTCCTCAAGCTCGCGGGGGACCCGTTCCGCCTCGCGGCGGCCCTCGACCCGCAGATCTTCGGCGACGACGCGAGCTTCGTGTCCGCGCAGTCGGGCGGGAGCGTCGACGCGGCGTCGCCGGCCGTCGCGGCGGCCGCGCTCGCCGCGCGCGCCGTCGACGACGCGTTCGAGCGCTACCCGCTGCCCGCGGAGGTGCGGACCCTCGTCGAGCGCTGCCTCCACGTCGAGGTCTCCCAGCGGCCCCGCGACGCGGCGGGCCCGCTCGCGGTCCTCGACCTCGCGACGCGGCGCCACCGGGGCCACGCCGCGCGCGACGACGACGGCGGCGGCGAGATCCGGGCGACGGAGCCCGGCGCGCACAAGGACCGGGACCTCGTCTGCATCGAGCTCGGCCTCGCGCTCGTCCGCCACGACCTCGCGGAGGTCGCGGCGCCCTTCTTCGACGAGGCCACGGCCGCGATCCTCGACGACTCGTTCGACGTGCGCCACGGCGCGCGCGCGACGCGCGGCGACCGCAACGACGCCCACACGGCGGAGCTCAAGGGCGTCAAGATGGACCGCCGCGCCGCCGTCTTCCTCGCCGCCGCCGCGGGCGCGGCGGCCGTCGGCGACGGCGCGCGCGGCATCGCCTACCTCACGCGCGCCGTCAAGCTCCGCCGCGACCGCTACCTCGGCGACGGCCACCCCATGGTCGCGTCGGCCCTCTGCGCGCTCGCCGCGGCCCAGCACCGCCACGCGCCGGGCTCGCCGCAGTCGCAGGTCGCGCACGAGTGGGCCATCGAGGCGCTCCGGAAGACGCGCGGCGCGGAGCACCACCCCATGGACGTCGCGCTCCTCGCGCGCATGGGCATGGACGCCATGAAGTCCGACGAGATGCTCAAGGGCTTCCAGATCATGGACCAGACGCGGCGCGTCCTCGCGGCCATGGCGCCGGGCGGCGCCGAGCGACGGCGGGGTCTCGTTTATTTCGACGTCGCGTCTCGTAGGCGCCGGGCGACGCGAACCACGTCAAGGCCGCGCTCGCCGAGGACGAGCGCAAGGCGCTCATCGACCAGTACGAGGACCGCGACGCGCCGGAGCAGCACACGCGCGGCGTCGCGCGAGCCCGCGTCGGAAGCGCGCGGTCTTTGGCCGAACGTCCCATCGACGCAGGTCCTCGCGCTGCCCCGCGGCGCGGCCTCGGCCGTCGCGCGGCACAAGGCCATGCGCAAGTACGGGCGCCGCGACCGCGAGCTCCCCGGCGGCGGCCGCCGCGGCGACGACGACGACTCCTTCTCGGGCTCCGAGGCCTTCACGTCGAGCGGCGGCGAGGAGGGCGACGACGCGAACGACCTCGGCGGCGAGCACCGGAGCCAGGCGCGCCGCAACGGCCCGGAGCTCTACCGCGCGCTCGACGAGACCGTCGCCGGCACGCTCGGCTTCGACCTCATGTGCCTCGACTACATCCTGCCGACGCCGAACCTCGACCTCGCCGCGAGCATCGACGTGCCCGAGCCCGTCCCGGAGAAGAAGGCGCGCGACGGCTCCGAGTCCGGCTCGGACATCGAGGACGTGCCCGAGGACAAGCCGCTCTACCTGCTCCCGGAGAACCAGCACCACCCGCCCGAGTTCCTGACCGGCGCGGCGCCGCAGCGGTTCCCGGTGCACATCGCGGGGACGTAACGCGTGTGTTTGTCGGTCTCTGGGTGACTGCCTTACGACGGCGCGCGCGTGTTTGGAGGGGCGGCCGTCGGGGAGCGCCGGTTCGGGAGGCGCGGGTCAGCCCACGACGGCCTGCTTCGCCTTGTTTTCGCGGTCCTCGGGCGTCTCGATGAAGACGCCGTGCTCGCGTGAGGTGAGCCGCTTGCCGCTTCGGCCTGCGCGGCGACGCGCCGCAGCGCGACCAAGCGCGATGGATCGTCTCAGCGACGACACGGTCATCACCATCCTGAAGTTCTTGAGGCCGCGCGAACTCGAAAGCGTCGCCTCGGCGAGCCGCGCGCTCTCGGAGCGCGACGCCGTCTGGCACGAGCTCGCGCGCGAGCTGGTGGGGACGCGCGGCGGCGGCGGCCGCCCCTCGGGCCGGAGCAGCGCGCGGCTGCGGCTCACGGGCAAGCAGACCTACGCCAAGGTCCACGCGCTGCGACTCTCCAACTCCGAGGAGGCGCGGAACAAATTCGACGGCGCGAAGAAGGTCTCGCTGGCCGCGCTCCGCTCCGTGCTCAAGGACTGGAGCCCGCTCGACCTGAACGCCCGCGGCTCCTCGGGATGCAGCTTCCTGCACAGCATCATCTCGGACGCGCGTCTGACGAAGGGCCAGACGTTGCAGTGCGCGCGCGAGTTGGTCGATCGCTGGGGCGCGGACGTCAACGTCTCCAACGACCTCGACCTCTCGCCGCTCCACTCGGCGGCGGCGCTCGGAGACCTCAGGACCGTCGAGTTCCTCGTGGAGCGCGGCGCGAGCCTCGGCCAGCGCGGCGCGCACCCGAACGGCTTCGTCGGCGCGCCGGTGCGGCCCGGGCAGCGCGCGCGCACGGCGAAGGAGTGGGCCGAGACGTTCGGCAACGCCGACGTCGTCGACTTCATCGCGGCGCGCGAGCCGGCGGCGGCGGTCGCCGGCGAGCCCGCCGCGACCGCCGCCGGCGAGCCGTCGCCGTCGCCGCGAAAGAAGCGCCGCAAGCGCCGCGAGCTGTTCTGCTACCCGACGTGCCGACACGGCCGCGAGAACGCGGGCAACATGATCCACTGCGAGGGCGGATGCGAGCGCTGGTTCCACCTCGAGTGCGTCAACATGTCCGACGAGGCGTTCAAGACGATGGTCCGCGACGAGGACGCGAAGTTCGCGTGCCCCGAGTGCGAGACCGGCGTCGCCTTCCGCTACGAGCCCGTCGCGCCGCCCGCCGAAGTGCCGCTTCCCGAAGCGCCGCCCGCCGAAGTGCCGCTTCCCGAAGCGCCGCTCGCCGAGGCCGCGCCGCCCGCCGAAGCGCCGCTTCCCGAAGCGCCGCCGCTCCTCGCGGCCTTCGTCGCTCCCGGGCCGAGCTCGCTGGAGCTCGAGGCGGACGCGCTCGGCGGCTGGCTCGACGCGGAGGCGGGATGGCTCCTCGACGCCGCGCCTCCCCCGGCCGCCGAGACGACGCCGCCTCCGTCGGTCGCGGGGACGACGACCCCTCCCGTCGCCATCGCCCAGACCCCGACGACCCTCGCATAAAAGCTCAGTTGATACTCATGTTCTGGTGGACGGGGTTCGCGGTCGACGGCGCGGCCGCGCGGCGGTTCACGATGCTCTGGAGCGCGCGGCTCCATTGGGCGCGCGTCTCGTTGCTGTCGGTGGCCACGACGAGTTCCTGCACGGCCGTCGCGTCGCGGCAGGAGATCGTGAGGCCGAAGGCGGGCACGCCCGGCGACGCGACGGTGATCGGCGCGACCTGGACGTCGCCGGAGGAGAGCGACACGTAGCCGCGGGGCGGCGCGGCCGACGACGACGACCAGCTCAGCTCGCCGGAGGCCGAGAGCGTGAAGTAGCGGCTGTTCCAGCGCTTGAGGTACGCGGACTGCTTCATGAGCCAGCCGCAGAGCGTGACGTTGGCCGGCCGCGCGGACCCGCCGGCGACGACCGTCGCGCCCGCGGGGCCGGCGCCGCCGCCGACGTCCGGGGGCAGGTTCGAGCCGCCCTGGGGCAGCGCGATCTCGATGAAGTCCTCGCGCCGCAGGCCGAACTGGCGGAACGAGAACTTGCTCGTGACCCGCTTGATCGTGCTGTACGTCGCGACGACGAAGAGCGCGAAGACCGCCGCGACGGTGATCGCCGCCTCCGGCGGGTAGCGCCAGGCCGCGAGGCACGTCGCCTGGACGACCTTGCAGAGCAGCCCGGCCCAGAAGAGCCGGAGCGCGAGCTTCCGCTGCACGAAGATCCGCGAGACCGCGAGCGCCATGGACCCCGCGGGGCCGCGGATCGCCTGCGGCGGGGGTCGCGCGACGTCGGCGCGCGGGCGCGGGGCGTCCCGGGACGCCGCGGCGCGCGAGCGCGGGCCCGTGGAGCATCGTGTAGATGGCCACGAGCAGCGTCAGCAGATTTAGCGAGATCGTGACGGACGAGAGAATCCAGGCGAGGGTCGAGAAGTGGTTCGTCGCCGATTCTTTGCTCACGGTCTCGGGCTCGATGTAGAGAGACTCCAGCGAGGTCTCGGCGAAGAAGGCCGCGAGCGAGGCGATGACGCCGAGGTTGTCGGTGAACAAAGTCAGCTCCTTGAAGCGGATCTCCGTGGCCCGCTGGTTGACCATGGTCTGCGTGGAGCGCACATTCGCCTGAATCATGGCTGCGATTCACCGACGGCGCGGCGCGCCGCGGGTCGGTCGTCGAGGGCGCCCCGGCGCAGTGGAGGAGAACGGCAGCCCGAGTTAGTTCTCACCTTCTGCACCCATTTTAGTTGCACTTCAACATCGAAGCAGCCCATCGAGCCCTCTCGGCCATGGCCTCGATGATGGACGCCGCGACCGCGGTCAAGAAGGGCGCGCCCTTCTGCCACGTCTACGATTTTGACGCGACGAGCGCGTGCCTGCTGTGGTCCACAATCGCGAAGGCGCCGTGCTACACGTTGCAGATGCGCGTGGTGACCGAAGGCGGCGGCTTCCCGCAGTGGAAGACGCTCTCGGCCTCCGTCAAGGGCCAGCGCGTGCGCAAGAACAAGCTCGACGCGGACACGGCCTACGAATTTCGCGTCGCGGCCATGGTCGAGAACGCGACCACGAAATCGACGTTCACGCTGGGCACGCAGCAGGACAAGGACGCGCTCAAGGCCGGCGCGTACTCCGCGCCCGCGCTGCTGCAGAAGCGGTCGGCGCCCGCGCTCGCCGCGCCGGTCGTCTTCGACGCCGACGGGGACAGCGCGACGGTCACGTGGTCCGGCGGCTCGCCGCCCTTCGCGCTCCAGTACGCGCTCGCGGACGACGAGGCCGCGCTCGGCGTCAACGGCGGCGGGCCCTGGAAGCTCGCGGCGGCGCGCATCAACGGCCACGTCGCGCGGAAGAAGAACCTCCAGAGCGGCAAGAAGTACGCGTGGCGCGTCAAGGAGAGCGACGCGCCGAACTGCGCGTGGTCGCGCGCGTGCGACGAATCGCCGATCCCCGTGCCCCACGCGTTCATGCCGCGGGTCTTCGGCGAGTTCCTCGCCGACAAGGGCGGCGCGAAGCGCCCGACGGGCATCGCCCTCGCGGGCAAGGTCGTCGCCGTCTACGCGGGCGCCTCGTGGGACGACGGCAGCAACGAGTTCGAGCCGCGCCTCGCCAAGGACTACGCCGCGCTCAAGGCCGCCGGCAAGCCCTTCGAGGTCGTGTGGCTCAGCGAGGAGAACGACGAGTTCGAGCACGCGCGGCACCAGGCGTCGATCCCCTGGTTCTCCGTGCCCTACAAACGCGCCGAGCGGGAGACGGCCCTGGAGCACTTCCACATCTCGAGCCTCCCGCGCCTCGTCATCATCTCCCCCGCCGGCAAGGTCCTCGTCGACAACGCCGCCGCCGACGTCGCGACGAACTTCGACGCCTGGGTCGCTTAATCGCTTAGCATGGAACCGGATCAACATGCATTCAGCCGCGGCGCCGCGGCCTCAGTCGGCCGCGGCGGCCCACGCGCTCCGCTCGACCTCAACCACGAAGGCTCAACGCAAAAGTAAGGCGCGTAGCTACCCGCTGGGAATTGACGAACAATCGGTCGGCAGGTCGAGTCTCGCCAGGGCAAAAAAAAGACGCGTCTTCCAGCGGTGCCAGCGAGAACCACCTCATACCCTTGACTTTTTACGCTCTTGATGGGTCCGGCATCCTCCTTTTACTCCGGTCCTGGGTTTTGTGCGAGTGGCGCGGTGCCCGCGGACGTCTGAGTTGCAGATCAGTTTCCGAGCACTTGAGGTTCTTGTTGAGGCGAGCCCTAGTTTTGCTCGACGCATGGGAAGCTTTGCCACACTGTCACGCTTTTGCACACGCGCAATACAACAGCTGACACACGCCGCGGGCGGCGAGCGCCTCCTCGATGACGCCGACGGACCAGCGCATCCGTTCCGACAGTTCGTGGAGCGAGGCGTACAGCTACGCCTCCGATCTGACAGACCCCATGGCGCCAGCGAGGCGGTCCGCATCGTCCACGGGCTGGCCCAACGACGACGTGGAGAACCTGCGAAGCCGCGGCTTCGCGTCGGTCGCCGCCGATCTCTCGCACGCCGCGGCCCTGCGCGCCGCGGGCGGATTCTTCGAGCAGATCGCTCCGATCAAGGCTCTCGCCGTGGCGCCGCGCTACCTCGCCGCCACTCGCGGTTACGTCGGTGCGTTCACGGAGAACTACAGCAGCCTCGGCGGCGTCGCGGGCCGGCCCAACGACGACGTGGAGAAATTTCGGCTAGGCGTGTGGTTGCCGTTCGACGGGACCCCCGCGCCCGACCTCGGGAACGCCTGGCCGTCGTCGGCGCCGGGCTTCGACGGCGCGGCCTTCCGCGACGACGGGACCCCCGCGCCCGACCTCGGGAACGCCTGGCCGTCGTCGGCGCCGGGCTTCGACGGCGCGGCCTTCCGCGACGCGCTCGAGCGCTACGGCGCGGATCTGGCCCGCGAGGCGGTCCGCATCGTCCGCGAGTGCGCGTCGCGGCTCGGCTTCGACGCGCCGACGAGGGGCTGCGCGGCGACCTTGACGCTCAACTACTACGTCTGCGACGGCAGCGCGCCCGCGGGCGAGCCGCTCGTCGCGGAGCACACGGACGTCGGCGTGCTCACGCTCGTCGCGTCCGACGGCGGCGGCTGCGCGGCGCTCGAGCTCCTGGGGGACGGCGAGTGGAGCCGCGCGCCGTTTCGCGGAGGCGCGGTCTTGGTGCACGCCGCGGACTGCTTGCCGGAGCTCGTCCCCGGCGCGCGGACCGCGAGGCACCGCGTCGTCGCGACGGGCGAGCCCGGGACGCGCCTCTCCGCGGCGCTCTTCGTCGATTTCCCCGACGACCACGTCGTCGGCCCCGGCATGACCTACAAAACCTGGCGTCTATCGCGCGTGCGGCGGGCCATGGCGACGGCCAAGGCCGGCGCGCGGGGCAAGGCTTCCGCCCCTAGGCCGCGGGCCAAGGCCGCCGCGAGGCCGAGGCCGAACTCCTCGACGTCGCCGCGCGTGGAGAGCTCGTTTTTTTGCGCCGACGAGGCGCGCGTCGCCCTGCGCCTCGCGGCCCTCGCCGCCGAGCGGACCTCCGCGCCGCCGCTCCGCGCGCTCACCGCCGAGCAGGTCGAGCGCTTCAAGGTCGACGGGTTCCTCGTCGTGCCGAACGTTTTGGACGCGTCGGGCCTCGCGGCGGCGCGCCGCGGGCTCGAGGCCTCGCTCGCGAGGTACGGCGTCGACGCGAGCGACCCCGCGACGTTCCACGGCCTCCGGCGGCTCTCGTCGACGAACGGCGCGGGCGGCGTCCTGGACCTGTTCTACGAGCGCTGGAAGCTCGAGCTGAGTTTGGAGACCGTGAAATTCGCCGACGCGTACCGCGACTTGCTCGCCGCGACCTACGCCACGGGCGACCCGCTCTGGTCGCACCCCTACGGCGACGACTGGGACCCGTCGGAGCTCTGGGCGCACGTGGACCGCATCGGCTGCCGGATTCCCGAGGCCGGCGAGGCCGGCGAGACCGGCGCCGACGGGAAACAGAAGGCCGGGAAGAAGAAGCGGATCCAGCGGTCGCTGACGCCGCACCTGGACTGCTGCCCGGACGCGCTGCACGCCGGCGGCGGCAAGGCCTTCCCCCGGTGGCGGCCGATCCAGTGCCTGCTCGCGCTCGACGCCGCGGAGCGCGCGGACGAGGGCGGCTTCGAGTGCGCGCCGGGCTTCCACGCCGCCTTCGCGGACTACTACGCGGACCGGCGCGCGCGCGCGTCCAAGGGCCTGCCCTGCGTCGGCGACTACGTGGCGCTCTCGCCGGGCGACGACGCCGCCGCCATGCGCCGCGTCGCGCACGTGCCCGTGCCCGCGGGCGCCGCGCTCTTCTGGGACCAGCGCGTCCCCCACGGGAACGCGCGCAGCAACCGCAAGGCCGAGCCCCGCGCCGTCGTCTACGGCGGCTTCCTGCCCCGGGGCGTGCCCATCAACGACGCCTACGCCGCGGAGCAGCGGCGGAGGCTCCGCGTCGGCGCGCCGCAGCCCGACTTCTGGATCCACGGGCCGTCGTCGGAGCGCGGCGACCTCGTCCCGCCGGACCACGACGAGAACGTGCGCGGCCTCGGCCCGCACGCGCGGGACCTCCTGGGGCTCTAAATTTACCGCGGTGACTCCTGCCAGGACTTGGCCCAGTGGTGGACCGCGTAGGAAAAGGGCGCGTCGGGGGCCGCGGGCGCCGCGTTCGACTTGGCGTAGAAGATCTCGTAGGGCAGGCACACGGCGCGGGGCATGGGCCCGTGCAGCTCGCAGAAGGTGCGCGTGATCAGGCCCGGGCCCGTGTGCTCGATGGTCCAGTCCGCGTCGGCCTGGGACAGGGTCTTCGCGAGCGGCCCGGCGTCGTCGAGGAAGCCGCTCGCGGCGATCGCGGCCAGGAGGTCCGTCGGCGGCGGCTTCGGGCGCTGGACGCGCGCCGCGGCGACGCGCTCCACGAGGGCCGCGAGGAGCGCGTGCCCGGGCGCCGCGCCGATGAGGCCGTTGTTGATCTCGACGGCGCCGACGTTCGAGAAGCCGACGAAAAAGTCCGCGGCCTCGCGGAGCGCGTCGAGGGGCCGGAGCGGCTCAAAGTCCATGTCCGCGTAGACGCCGCCGAAGCGCAGCAGGATCTCGTAGCGCGCGATGTCCGACGCCTCGCCCCAGTTGGTCGCGGCCGAGAACGCCGCGGCGTTCTCGAGGCCGAGCGCGGCGACGTCCGCGTCGCGCCACAGCTTGTACTCCCAGTCCGGATGGAGCGCGCGCCACGCGGCCGCGTGCGCGTCCGGCGGCGGCTTGGGCCCGAGCCAGATCTGGTGGAGTTTGCGCGGGACGTTCGCCGACCCGCTCGCGCCGCGGCGCCAGTTTTCGTACTTCGCGCGAAGCGCGGCGTGGTCCTCGGCGTCCTTCGACGACCAGAGGCCTCGGCGATGCAGCGGCGGGTCGGTCCACGTCGGCAATTCGTCGAGCAGCGCGGCCATGGGCGAGACGCAGTGCTGAGAGCGTCGCAGCGCTGCCGCAGCGCTTGGAGCGCGTCGCCGAGGCGCGAGTGCGTCCGCGCGGCGGGCCGCGTCGATGGGTGTGCCGCACGACGCCTTCGCGCGAGCCGCGCGGCACGTCGCGCGGCGCCTGGAGGTCGTCGGCGCGCGCGCACGGCGTCGCTTCGCCAGGCGAGGCGCGGTGCCGCCAAGGCCTGGAGCTCGACTTCAGCGTGCAGGCACGGTGCCGCGAGGCCTCGGCGGCGCGCAACGCGGGCGCGACGGGTCGCGGCGCGTCGCGAGCGGGCCGTGCGCGGCGTCGTCGCGGGGCGTGGGCGGCGCGACGGACGAGTGGCGTCGGGGAGGGGCGGCGGCGCGCGCGCGAAGGCGGGAGAAAAGGCCGTATTCGCGGACGCGCGCGGCGACGGGCGCGCGCGCGCGCGCGGGTTTGTGCGTCGGTCGAGCAGAGGGAGTCCCGGCGGGGGCGGGGGGAGGCGCGGCGGACGGCGAGCGGCGTTTTACGGCGCGAGGAAGCGGGCGTATTCGGGCGTCAAAGTGTCCAGTGTAGGGTACTTGGGGGTACTTGGCAATGGTAGCCGAGAAACCCGCACGATTTGGACTCGGGCGTTTTCAGAGAAGTGGTGGGAGTCGATGGAGTCGTAGTAGTAGTCGTCCGAGTAGTCGATGACTATGAAGATAAAACCCGCACGAAAGCGGCTTGGTGTTACAGTTAAAGGTCTTCTGGAGTAGAGTGTTGCGTCGGGAGACGCAGAAGAGAAACCCGCACAAAAAGGCATGGATTTTGATTTTGGGTTGGGTTGGTTCGCTCCAATTGGAGCTGTATTGGTTTTGTGTGTTTGGTTTGATTGGGGGGGAGCGCGAAAGAGATGGATCGACGTGCAGCTCGACTCTCGGAAGAGGGCGCACAGAAGCTCGCTGTCTGCTTTCACATTAACAAATCGCCGGAACAAGAGGCTGAATCTCAGCAGATCGTAGGACAAAGCCTACTCTCATGCTTACAATACCCCGTTCCATATTTAAGTCGTCTACAAAGGATTTATCCCTCCCAACATTCGAAATTGCGATGGAGTATGATGCTCGGCCGAAGCCTATCGTGATGCGTGTAACATCGGGAGAGGTGAATATCGTCGCTTTCCAGCATGGATTCTGACTTAGAGGCGTTCAGTCATAATCCTACAGATGGTAGCTTCGCGGCACTAGCTGTTCAGCTAACCGCAATGACCAAATATCTGAACCAACGGTTCCTCTCGTACTAAGTTAGATTACTGTCGCGACAACCGTTCATCAGTAGGGTAAAACTAACCTGTCTCACGACGGTCTAAACCCAGCTCACGTTCCCTGTTAGTGGGTGAACAATCCTACACTTGGTGACTTCTGCGACACAATGATAGGAAGAGCCGACATCGAAGAATCAAAAAGCAACGTCGCTATGAACGCTTGGCTGCCACAAGCCAGTTATCCCTGTGGTAACTTTTCT